TTCTAATCCATCCACACAGCATTAGAGAATATAGATCTTATATAATATAGGTGTTTGTTTTCACTGAATTAAGCAACATCCCAAATAAAATCAGCACTTAGATGCCTGAAAAAAATAAAAAATAAAAATTCAACATTTACTGAGAAATATGATGTGTAGCATTGCTTGAAGCAGATCTGTCAATCATGGCCAGCCGTGTCCCCAACTGACTAGCTCTGCGCACTATTTATCGAATCAAACTAATACTTGCTGACAAAAGGAATGCTTTCATTGCACCAATCATTAGAACAGTAGATATTTAAAAGTTGTGCACATAAATAGGCCATATATTACATACTAATTGAACTGACTAGTAAAGCCTAGTTTTCCTAAACAGCGAACGCTTTCAAACAAACGTATACAGTCAGGTGGGAGAGATGTTCACTAAATCACATTTTAAAAAAATAAAATTTTTATTTGGGGGACTTTATATGTTTTTATAATGGAATTGTTATTACAAACATTTTGCAGTGCTGAGAATTTCATCTATACATTATGCTAACCAGACAACCGACAAATCCAGAAAGTGATTTGACCAACAATCGGGACAATACTAATGGCAAGCAACCATAACTCAACACCAAAATAGCTGGTTGACACAAAATGATGAGTGCAGTCAACAATGAGCACCCACTCAGTCTCCTCTAACTAAAGGTGGCTATCCATGGATGCCTATTCTTTGACTTACCAAATGCTCACAGCTATTAATACAATAGCCAGACAAGGTATACAAATATTAGTTTCTACTGATCCAGACATAAGTCTGACAACATGAACAGATTAAAAATAGATTTTTCGCACGGCGGAATCTCGTTTACCCAGCAGATTTGCTTTCACTTTTAGTGTAAGATAAGCAAGACACAAAATGGATCCTCAAAGTGAATATGCAAACCTCTTACAAAATACCTGCAGAACAATAAAGGAACACTAAGGCACCCTAACCACTACTACGTGCTTAAAATCAGCTGACACTGTCACGACAAGGGTGCATAATTTATTATTACACTATGGAATATTATCCTTTAATGTAATTTTTGTAGTAAATGGCACAAATTACAGAGATGGTATTGTTCAGGTAAAAGGGGTTACATCTTTTGAAGCTGGGACCCCACAGAGGTCAGATGACAGAAGGGCTAGTATGAATGGCATAGCAATGTGAAAAGGATTTTACTATCTGGATGTGAAGTAATCAAGGCTCTGCAAGGTGTGAGGTTCTACACTTAGAAAAAGTCTGAATGTCTTCATCCATTTGGCATGTACCTTGTAAGTGATGAGTAAATCTCTTTGATATGTAAATGCCATTAGCCTTGTTCCAGTATCCTTTCCAAAGGAAGGACAAAAACATTCCTATTTACCCCCACAGAATAATAATAAAGCCTCATTTTTGTTATATTTGGAATGTGACAAGCGCCATCTTCTAACCAAGTCCAAACATGAGTGGCCTAACTTACCATAGGGGAAGGAATTGTGGTGTCCATTCTATCGGATCGCAAGGCCGGCATGCATCATATGTATAGAATGGGAAAATAACAAATTTGTAGATGCAATTATTATTTCTGTGGCAGGTACATAAGAGAAGATAGAACCAAATGTTTGCATTTGGATTGATGTGGGTCTGAATACAAGGAGGTGGTCACCTAGTATCTCTATAGATAAGCCTTAACTCCACCTCTGGCTGAGGCGTGGTAATCCACAGGGTATATCTCTAATGATCCTGAAGGGTGCATTGTACTTGCTTGGGGGTCAGAATCTAATTCTAAGTGAGTCACCATCTTTCCTTGCCAGAGACCCCCTGGACAGAAGTTGTACTTTGAAAACCTAAGTGAATAATTAGGACTTCTGTATTTTATCCTTTTTGTTTTTATCTGTTGTTGGTGTAAATAATTTGTTTATCATATATTGTTATATGCACTGTGATTAACTTTTGCTCATAATAAACATTCATTTATAAAGTTCTGCCTTTGTCTGGTTAAGAATCACGTTACCTGAAGAGACTAGTTAGTATTTTTGTAATTCCTTAAATATTGTACTAAGTAATATTTGGTGGGTTTTATTATTGATTTACCTGGGGGACCAAGGCACCCCATTTATAAATTGTCTTGGTGGTGGCAGCGTTAAAATAGTAATAGTTATATTATTATGTTTAAGTGTGGGTGGTGTTAAAAGGGGGGTTTTGTCATTATTTCCGGTCTAGTGCAGACAAATAGTGAACTTTAACCCTTTCACCACCACAACTACGACACGCACACTCTTGAAGTAGGATGCGTTCGTGACACAGGTAATACGTTATTTCCTTGTATTGTCCCTTGCTATCCTAAACTCTGCGTGTTGTGGTATTGCACCGTGACATAGCCCTAATGACTGCCTGAGAGCTGATTAAGCAAGCAGATGTATTAAAATGTGTCATTATATATATATAAAGCCAGGGAAGCCATAGAAGACAAGGGCAGAGAGTGAAAATGGCATATATTTCTGACAGCACTGTCCTGCTTATCACTAATAGTTTAATAACTCCTACAGCACATTGTGTAGTGTAAGCTCAGCTGCCCAGAGCCCATAAAGTACTCATGCTGTGGCCAGTTGAATAATTGTGAAAGAGTGGGGCTGTTATTCAGATACTGATTTCAATCTGTAATGATTGTTGGCTCCATGTTACTATTGCAAATTACTTTTATTGCCAGCTACAAAGGTAATGGTCTATCAGTATCCTGCAGCTTTAACCCTTTGCTTCCGGTTTCATAACAGAAGCAACATTCGCTAGAAAGCTGAAGTTGTCATAGCAGGAGCACAACTGAAGATGAGATCAGAAAAGGGAGAGCAGTCATTAGACCAGCGTTTCCCAACACAGGGGAGCTGTGAGTTATTTTCCCGGTGATATGATGATAGTACCAGGACTGTGCTCTCCCCTGCCAGCTCTGCAGGACCGGAGTGGAGATCAGAGATCTCCCTCTCTGGCCCGCTAGCACTTTGCTGACAGCCGGCAGGGAGGGAGAGAGGACCCGGGGGAGCTCTAACCTGCAGCTCCACCGGGTTCCCCTCTCGCTAGCTCGGAGCTTTGCTGCGGTTACCATGCGACACTCTGAATCTCGAGAGAGTGAACTCTAGCAGCTCCTGAGGCCACTCAGGATTATAATAAATTATGATAAACTATAACTGGCATTTTGCATTAATTTTTAGATTGCTTTATGCGCCCCTCAGTATTTTTAGTTTTTATAAATGACTTCCAAAACAAAAAGTGCCCCTCTCTCCCCTCCATTTTAATGTTAAATGGTAATCAGTAATGGTTTATATACTTTATTAGGAATAGAATTAGGTTATGGTTAAATAGTGGTTAGCTATTGGTTAGGGTAAATGTATCAGTATTGCAAGGGGGGGTTGGGTGGTTAAGGTTTGTGTAGGGATAGAGGGAAGTTGGGGTAAAGTTAGGGATAGGGAAATTGTTAGGGAAGAGGGGACCGGAGTTACAGCCCGAATTAATCCCTACCTCACTCTCGATCTACATGCTCACTAACTCCAAATCACCCTACCTTTTACTGGCCATCAACCTAAATCATAGGGTGCACTGCTGTACCCCCATTATTACAATAATGGGTAGCATATTTTCTTTGTGACATTATAATGCCACTAGAATGGATTCAACCTTTTTAACAATATTTACATGTTGACTCTTATAAAATCAATCCAAATCTATGACAAACAGCGCCACCAGCAGCATTCCTGGGGTTATAACAACCGTCTTCCAACTGTAAGAGTACGTTAAATACAATATAAATGAAAATCCAGCGCCCTCCCTTATCCACTAAACAGCAACTTTGGTGCTGACAGATTTTGTTAGTTTTTTTTAAAAAAAACACCTAATCTAGGCAAAAAATAATGGGGGCTTAGTTACATTATATGATCATACATTGCATAAGCCAGCCCCTTGTTCTCTCATTTGTAAGAGTACGTTCATTTAGGTTAAAAAGACTATTTTCACAATACCCAAATGTTTTGCAGGAGCAATGTTAATTTTTAATGACCCTTGGTACAAGAAATACACAGAACACAAAACGTCATATTATATAGGTTTATTTAAGAAACAGGGCAGCGAGGCACAGTGATGGTTACCATATTTAGTTAACTCCAAGAGATTTTCTATATATTTTTTTTTTTGTTATTTCACACTAAAGCAGGTACCAGGCGATGTTCACAGCAAGGGCTAATTAAGACATTTTCATATAAACTGTCCTCATCTAAAGGAAACAATAGAGCGCAATGGTCAGGCAGCAAGACGTGGCGTAAAACGGAACACAAAGTAAAAAGCAAAAGGTCATTGGTAAACCATTATTAACCCTTTAACTTGCCAGAGAGACACGCAATGCATGTTCGCTTTCCCCTGTGCTACTCAAAGGATAAAAACAATGATATATAATGAAATATACACAAAAACATATTGCCATGCAGTTAGTGTCCTGTGTAATAAAAAAAAACTGAAATAAATATAAATTAAAAACCAATGCATTGTATGAATAAACACCAGCCCGAGGCACTTTCATAAAGGAATATAAACAGAATAATTCTCAAAACTATGTAAACTTTGAAGAAGCGAAATGGATTAAAATTATATATATAAAAAAAATGTAAAAAGCATAAAAAAATTTAAACAAGGAACACTTCACCACAAAACACACAACACATTTGGTGTCACTGCCAATTGCTTTAAAAAAAAAACGAAAAACTAATCAAAAAGCCCAGAAAGAAGAAATCTATTTACAAAGCTTACTATACATTTTATAACCCATTTAGATAATGCCACACAGTTTGACCTATTCTACAGGAAATGCCTGAATTCCTATTTAGGTATATTCTCCAAGAGGTTAATTTGTTAAACAGGGAATTGTGGTGATTTGAAAACTGAATTTACCAAACCGGGGGCCAAAACATCTAAACTGAAAAAAAAAAAACACGTTTCATAAATTTAAAAATTTGCTATTTTGGCCTAAACTCTCCAAACCTGACTCTTAATTCACCACAGTTAAAGGAACACTATAGTCACCCAAATTACTTTAGCTAAATAAAGCAGTTTTAGTGTATAGATCATTCCCCTGCAATTTCACTGCTCAATTCACTGTCATTTAGGAGTTAAATCACTTTTTTTCTGTTTATGCAGCCCTAGCCACACCTCCCCTGGCTATGATTGACAGAGCCTGCATGAAAAAAAAAAACTGGTTTCACTTTCAAAAAATTATTTACCTTAAATAATTGTATCTCAATCTCTAAATTGAACTTTAATCACATACAGGAGGCTCTTGCAGGGTCTAGCAAGCTATTAACATAGCAGGGGATAAGAAAATCTAAATTAAACAGAACTTGCAATAAAGAAAGCCTAAATAGGGCTCTCTTTACAGGAAGTGTTTATGGAAGGCTGTGCAAGTAACATGCAGGGAGGTGTGACAAGGGTTCATAAACAAAGGGATTTAACTCCTAAATGGCAGAGGATTGGGCAGTGAGGCTGCAGGGGCATGTTCTATACACCAAAACTGCTTCATTAAGCTAAAGTTGTTCGGGTGACTATAGTGTCCCTTTAACTTTTACTTTAAAACCCCCATAGGGTCTGTCTCTCTGCAGAGATACTCAGACAGTTTGCAGAGTTTTACTGAGGGGAGAAGAACCGCATGTATACATGTTGGGAGGGAAGGGGTTAACAATGATCTGGCACAGCCTATTCACCTGCTTACAAATGAGGTTCCATAGAATAATACTGAATTTTGGCTACTAGGTGGCAGTCATTCCCCATAGAAATTTGCAGTTAGGGTTGATGAATCCACCATGTGTAAAAATCCTCTGTATTTTCAGAAAAAAAAGTATATATTTGTTTATTTCATACACTGTATTATCAATTAAAAGCTTAGAGCTTTGACTGTCACAGCTCTGGGAGTGACAGATCTTCAAGCCCTCGTCCCTTTAAACATTACTTTAGTGCACACCGGGGTGAGGAGTGTATTATGCGTATTCCTCGGTAGCACTAATATTTCCAGGCTGATATGACGATCACACACGCTCCCCTGATCACCTGCTGAGAAGCGAGTTTGGGAATATATTCCAAAGTTTGTTCCCGGCTCTGCTCTTCACAGCACCTACGATCAGGAGATATGTTAAAGGGTTTCTCCAAGTACCATGGCCACTTCAGTGATTTGAAGTGGTCATGGTGCCCGCAGTCTGTATGTGCAGTGTTTTGCTATGTAACTACCCTTTGCCATCTGAGGTTAAACTCCACCTCCAGCAGCAATGGAGGTGAGGCTTAGCTTTTTTTTATTTTGTTTAATTGGTTGGGGAGTGACTGTTTAATTTACAGTGTGTGCTCTGGTTATGCCATGTCAAAAGGGAATATAATAAACATTTAAAATATGTTAAGTTGCATGTGACAGTAAGCTGAAAGAGAACCCATTAGACTGTAAGTGCATTTACTATTGGACTTCCTGTCCAATCTGTCCTGTTTCTACTACTTTTATGTCCATCCACCCATTGTACAGCGCTGCCATATATGTTGCTGCTGTATAAAAAGTATTAATAATTATTATAAACCGGACTCAATTAATACCTGTATATCGGCTGAAGTTCCCTAATATCACACCTTTTAGCCAAACACAGAGAGAGAGCAGAGAGAGGCTATAATTATCAGGAATGTTGGTTAATCCCTGGCTACATTTTCTAAATGTTGGTTAGAATAACACCCATCACTGCCAGCGAGGAGGATAAACGAGTCACTTTTCAAGTTCACTGGGAGAGATCAGACTAAATTGACTTTTGGCCATCCAGCTGTAAAGAGGATCATGGGAACTGTAGTTAATCAGAAATGCCAAGAAATTGCCTGGAAACAATGTTTTCAATAATGCTTGTCCTGCTGGCTGGCCGGTAACAGCTGCAAGAGCCCAGCAAGGTTGAGTTCACACCAATAAATCTCTTGGCATAAAGAAAACTAATGTTATAGAAAAAAAATTGTGAGTGGGGTACCGAGAGGGGCTGCGCATGCACAGACCTGTGTAAAGCTAACATTTAGCCAGAGTGACAGGCAACAACGTAACGGTCAACAATCCATGATATCCTCAATGACATATCATGCCCGGGGCAGTTAATATTGCATTAGAGACTCGTAGCCAAACCGCACCAGCGTTTTTTTGAGTGAAACTTTTCCTAAGCTGCCCTACTGCACGGGACTAAGGCAAGGGGCTTACAATCCATTTGGATCATTGGACAACTGATGAGTTATCAGGCAAGCTGCAAGATGCTAAGCATCAAAAGCGAATGACCTGCATTGGTAGATAAATCAGTAAAAAAAGTCATTTTGTTCTGGCAAATGTACTATATACAAATTCTAAAACTGCAGAAATCGTATAGGATATTTCTTTGTTTTTGCAACGTATTTCTACAAATCCAGTCCTTCCAACAGGGTAACGATGGTAATCTGGGATGAGTTTTGTAGTGCATTCACTGGCGTGTCAGTCTGGACTCCATAACACAGGAGAGCGCGCATGGCTTTTAATGTACATCGTCTTCCTCAGCCATCTCAGAAAGGATGTCTATCAAGTTATCGAGTCCAAAGAGATAGCCATCTTCTCGGTTTCCTTCAACCCAGGATATTCTGTGGTCTAGGACATCACCCTCCGGCAGTGGGGTTGTTTTGCCAAAGTCAATCATCCAAACCTTGGCCTGCTCTTTCTTATCATGGATAAAAAGCAGTGAACTCCCAATTACCTGCAGGAGAACGACAAGAAGAATAGGGTTATATTAAATCTATACTGTCTATATATGCAGGGTCAATGGCAACAGCTCGGCAGTGACTTGTTTATTAACAGGACAGTACAAAGAACAACAGTCATACGTTCAGATGATACGTGGCCTAACCCTTGCCGTAATAGATTAAGTGTAACAAGGCTGACCAGTGTTTATTCAGAATATCCCCGCAATGACAGCTTCTCTCCCCATGGGTAAATAGGCAACAATCACTTTTAACCCCTTCAGAATCAACAAGAATTCAGGGCTTTTAAAAACCTTAGTCCTGAAAGTTTTAAAAATCATTCACAAATAAAACTAGCAATTTCTAAGAGTCGCATTTATTAAACTTGCTTGTTCCTTTGAGCAGGGAACAGATATTACATCAAATGTTATAATCTTTAATTAAACAATTCAACAAACTTGAAGGGAACTGGCCTTTTGACAACCACGATGAACAATATCCTATTAAAATGCGTTAGGCCTAAAGCTATTCTAGCTGGCCAGGTTCCCTTCCACCTGTACCTTCAGCTTCTCCAGAAATCATGTTTTACAACAAACACATAGGAACTTTATCTCCTGAGCAAGTCAGTAATCGTATAAAAGTGCTATAACCATAGAGGGTATTATTGTCTGTGCGTTGGGTTAATTCCATTCATCCATCGGTGGCTCTCTATTTAGACGATTTAGGTGGCTCACTGGGGACACGCAACCACCACCAACTCTCATAACTGGAGAGCAGGGCCTGTAGCATGGGGCAGGAGAGAGTCACCACCAGAAGGATGACCACTATTAGGAGGTGCGAGGAGCGACCGCAGCTAGCTGCTCCTAGCATTTCCGCAGATTTAGTGGAGGGAAGGGTCCACCAGCATAGGTGCCAAGCATCAGAAACATTGGGATGAAGTTTGTATTTCTGAAAGAGCTTGTTTGTACTTTCCTGCCTGCACCGTCTGCTCCTTGGAGCTGGGTGGAAAAGAGGAAAATGGAGCTGGGTGGGAGAGAGGGAAATGGAGTAAGGGGAGAGAGTGAGCTAGAGCTGGGTGGGAGAGAAGGAGATGGAGTAAGGGGAGAGAGTGAGATGAAGCTGGGTAGGAGAGAGGGAGATGGAGTTGGGTGGGAGAGAAGGAGATGGAGTAAGGTGAGTGAAGGAGATGGAGTTTGGGGAGAGAGTGAGATGAAGCTGGGTGGGAGAGAAGGAGATGGAGCTGGGTGGGAGAGAAGGAGATGGAGTAAGGGGAGAGAGTGAGATGAAGCTGGGTGGGAGAGAGGGAGAATGGAGTTGGGTGGGAGAGAAGGAGATGGAGTAAGGGGAGAGAGTGAGATGAAGCTGGGTGGGAGAGAGGGAGATGGAGTAAGGGGAGAGAGTGAGATGAAGCTGGGTGGGAGAGAGGGAGAATGGAGCTGGGTGGGAGAGAAGGAGATGGAGTAAGGGGAGAGAGTGAGATGAAGCTGGGTGGGAGAGAGGGAGATGGAGCTGGGTGGGAGATGGAGTTGGGGGAGAGAGGGAGATGGAGTTCAGGGATGAGAGGGAGATTGAGGAGAGAGGGAGATGGCGCTGACCCCTTACAAGGTACATCCTCTCCACATGCACGGCCACATTGGGAGAAAGTGAAGATGGAAACTGTCCATTACAGACAGCAGTCTATTCCAGATCCCTAATGGACCACAGGGAAGCAAAACTGCCGGCAAAAGGGAAGCAAAGAGTAGGGTGGCTATAATATTTAAAATTTCAATAATTGCGTTTGTGTGTGACTCTGTCATTGTGTGTGTCTGTTAGTGCGCATGTTAGTGTTTGTTTTGCGTGGCTGTGAGGCATGTATGCATGTTCGTCACTGAGTCTGGCATTTAGAATCACCGTGTCAGTGTATGTCGGGTTTTATCTGGGTATGTGTGTGTATCCTCATGAGTGTGTCTGGAATGTATGTGTGTGTGTGTGTGTGTGTGTGTGTGTGTATCTATGTGTCTGTCTGCATGTGTGTGAGTTTGTGAGGGGCTGAGTGACTGTGTTTGTAAGGTACCATAAGTATTATTATAGCCTCCCTGCAGGGTGTACTTAGGATTGAGGCAGCGGCTGTCAATTAGACAACCGGTCCTGTTACATCCCGGTTTGGTTAGCTCAGTGGAACTAAACTCAAGAGGCAGCATTTGCCCAGAGCACCTGCCTTGCAAAGATCTCTCATTGAGCTGCATTGGAAAGTCTGTGATTGGACAGCCACAGAAAGTCTGGGCGGGATTTGAAGGGGGGGATGTGGGGGCTTACAAAGGCTGCAGGCAAGAGATCTACAGCGTTTTCAATCTGTTTTTAGATATAGCCCACAAAGAAAAAAATGCATAATTAAATGCACGCATGTAATCATTGGGGATATAACTACTAAACAGTGATTTTATTACTTAAACAGTGGTGTGTCCCTTTAATATATGTTTATACAAATATATATTTAGTATTTATTTCTATACTGTTCATCAAAATACATTTTTCTGAGTACACTTCCACTGCATTCAGGGTCAGAAACCCCTCTAGGTTATGATGATGTGGAAGGATTGCCTGGCACTTTCAGTGCATTCTATGCGATATTTATTGATTTTTTTCTAGGTGTGCGTACAATAAGCAAACAGAGCGTACATTACTGACATTCAAACAAGTCAATAGGAAACTTCCATCATGTGCCAAGAACTGTTGTACAGCTGCCATTAAAGGTACAGTCAAGGCAGGCGTTCTAACAAGGCAGGTGACTACACAATCACCTACATCATACAGTATGCTAAAATCTCACTACCCTGAAGATTGTAACAATAGCAACATAACACACCCTTGGGCTCATGGGGTATGTAGTTCAGCAGCTGTAAAGCAGTTTTATTCAAGTACAAAAAAATTAAACTACTCTGTAATTCTGTAGGCAGCTATAATCCTATATTTTTCAGTAACCTTGCAGTAAAGCCCTCTCAGATGGACCCGACAGGTAACTTTGTATATGGGTAGCATTCACACTGCTGATATACACACACACTGTGCCCCTTGTATGGGTCGTCATTTGCGAGTTTAAATGGTTACTCCAAGCACCATCAACACGTCATTGATTTGAAGTGGTTATGGTACCTGGAGTCTGCATATGCACGTATGGCACTTTGCACATTCGGAGATTAACCCATTTTGGAACTCCATCTCCTGTGTCAAGTTGTGAGCAAAGTTAGCATACTTACGCCAGACAGCACAAGTGGTACTGGGAATGGGGGCATGTTGCCAGTGGCACAGCCAACTCCACAGCCCGCCCTCCCTGGCCTCCCAGCGTGTCCAGTAAGCAGGACAGACATCAGCAGAGGAAGATCAGGCTGAAGGAAAATGTCTTCTGGAACCAAGGTAAGTTTATGCTTTTTTTTTTTTACGTTTGGGGGGCATTCCCTGCTAGGAATGGTTATTCCAACAGTGTTTTTCTTAAAACACTGTTTTTTGGCTGGAGTAACCCTTTACCATCAGAATCTGGGCATAGAGGACATGAAATAATGTAACTGTGGGATTTGTTGTTCAAGCAAATCCCATCCATGGAGCCCCCACCTTGCAACTCGCAGGACTTAAAGGATCTGCTGCTAATGTCTTGGTGCCAGATGCCGCAGGGCACGTTCTGAGGTCTCGTGGAGTCCATGCCTCGACGCATCAGATAATAAGGCCCCACCATTTGAGGCCTTTAATTTGCATTAAAGCCTTCATTAAGTTGCTTAATAAAATGCCTGTGAAGATGTTAACCACAGATGACCCGTGCGATTTCCACAAAGAGATGAACGTCCGGAACACTGTGGGAATGCGGCCTGTGTATGGGATACACTAGAGAGCATTTATCTTGTCATAAACGTAAATAGACATCAATCTGTGCAGAGGGTTTTCATTTTCAACAGCTTAACCACAGCTTGTTATGCTTTTGTTGCTAAGAGATGCCTTTTTTTTGGTTTTTAAGAATAGTAGCTGCTGAATGTTAGCTCTATTATGTCATTACATTCCACATTGTATCCATTTCCCAACACAGGAAACCCTTTCAGTGCTGGACAGTACAGCGTGTACCGCGGCGGGGAGACCGAGGGCAGAACAGTGTGCCACAAGGTGGGGGGTAAGGGATGTGGACAAAATGACAGATGGGGGTCTATTCACTAAATAAGCAAAAATCACATTGCAAAATGGCTGATTTAACAAGAATCTCAAAGCTTGGCTTCGCAATCTAGTTTTCAATTTACTACAATTCAGTGCGAGGGTCATTTAACCAAACACTTTATATAAAAGTATTATACATGCTAAATTCTAGGTTCTGTCTGCCGCAACCCTACCCAGTGTTAATTCACCCGATGTACAGCGCTGTGGATTATGTTGGTGCTCAGTAAAAAAAAGTTATAATACAATTGACGATAATTCTGATTTGGAACATCTGTGCAGGTCTCGGAATCTTCAAACCTCCAGGTAAAGCGGTAAACTCTTCACTATTCATCGCAAATGATGAATTGACAAATGACTTACAATATGAAGGCCAAAATAGTCAAATTGCAAAAAAAAGAGTAAAAATACTCTTAACCATTATTTTTTTTAAAAGAAAGTCAGATTTGCTTTGATTGAAATTCTGTTTTCATAGATGAAATTTTAAAATTTTTAAAAATTAGGAATAAAGAAACCAATGCACTGACTCCTTACTTTTTCTCCGCATTTGCAACAAACCTGTCCTGAGCTTTCTCAATCAAACCTAGTCAATTTCAGCAGGAGAAAAGTGCATATCTCATAAACGTCTCCCCTGCAATGAGTTATGGGATATGTAGTTTTGCATTCACAAGTAGTTTCTTTCATAGAAAAGCAGGAATGAAATTACTGTACACATTTTACAAGCTGCTATGTGAATTCTATTTCCAAATAACTTCATTTATGTGGGTTTTTTTTACCTCGTGGCTCTTAAAGAACGGGGATTTGTCCAACGTGGTACGTACTTCTTCCAGGCGACTAAGGTAAGACTTCTGGAAAAAGAGATAAAAAAAATAAAAACATTAGCTGATTAATAACCAAAATCCAAAAGACACCATTTAACCCCTTAAGGACACATGACATGTGTGACGTCATGATTCCCTTTTTTTCCAGAAGTTTGGTCCTTAAGGGGTTAATATGCTTAAGTGGACTTGAATTGGGTCTCTGAGCCTGAAGAGTAAATAGAGAAGGGTTTTGCATTCTTAGCAGCCAAATGTTTGCGAACTGCAATTCCCATGATGCATTGCTGGCCTGGACAGCATGCATCGGGGTTAGCCATTATTAAAGAAGTTAAGTAAACACCGCTTCATGTTATGGTGTCATAACTAAGTCTTCTTTTTGAGTAAAAGCGATAATTTCTAGAAAAATGAGAATTGTAGTATCACGATGACTAAATAATCATCTGGACCACAAAATGGTGGCTGTTGCCAGAATAGGGAAGTGCGCAAAAGGGACAAGCTGTGACAAGCACAGGTCTTGCCAATCACCATGCAAGAATGACAGAATGTTGTAGAGAGCGGCCATATTGCGAATAAGCCTTCCACGGCAGGTGGCAGGTAGAAGCGGACAGACGATCGGAATCTGACTTCTACGCCAGGAACAGAAACCTCAGAATAATTTATCTTTCTTTAGCATCAAATATATCATCTGTCTATCAAAATCTAAATCTGCAGAACAAAAACTGCTTCGACATTTGTATTGCTTGATAAAAACCATAAAAACGTGTTTCAATGTCCTTAAAAGCAGTTACTGAGTCATTTTTTGACCAATGATACCGCTGCCCTAAACAAGAAATGTTAGTAGTGCAATACTTATTGCTTTCCCACAATTCTGTCATAGTATCGAAATGTTATTTGACGTTAGACTATTTTTTTGTTCTGACGTTTGTTTTTTTACTTAACTAATGAGGACGAACGAACTTCAATATGTATAGCATTAGTTACTAGATAACTGATCAATTTTCTATTATGTTCTATTTATTTAGAATCTAAAAATGAATCCAGGCCTTATTTACTTTAAGTTTATTGGTATCATGTCAGAGAAGAATATTGGTGTAGTTCAAACCATTTTTAAAATTTTATTATTTCTACCACTTTTGCTGAGAGGCTATTCCACACACCCACCACTCTTTCATTGACGTAGATTTTTATAAACATTCTCTTGAGTTGCTAAAACCTACCAGTATGTTAACATTCCCCTTGGTAAACTCTTTGAATGCTTCTATTACTTGTTCCCGAGTTTTGGTCTTTTTAAAGTCTCTGTTGACCGTTCCATCTTCTTTCTGTGCCAAAATAAGGAAACCAATATTAGTTATTAGACAAAATGATTGTTTCGATAATAAAAGGTTTCCTGGAACATTTTGTTTTAAACATTTTAAAAACAAATAATTTACAAATCATCAGGCATTTTAATACTGAGAAGATAAATTTGATTATTTCTTAATTATTTGAAATTGTTTCCACTTATTTTGGGGATGTCGTCCTAATTTCTTCAGTCTTATTAACTGTCTTTCCACAATCTGTGCTGGCATCTTCTTTCACAATTAAATATTTCCAACATGATGAGGTCAAAAAGCGATAAAAGTATGCCATCATTTTTTTATCCTGTGTTCCCTTAGGGATCTTTTCAGTACAAACTGCCAGCTAAGATCCTGGCTTTTCCATCTATGGGTTTATTGGCCAAGTACAAGTCTATATCGCCTGCAGAAGTGCAGGAGGTGCTGATATCATAATTTCTGGGTTGGATATATCACCTGTAAGAATGGTGGACCAATCCAAGCTACGCAAAAATGCAGAGGGCGTCATTCCCCAATCCCACAATGCATAGCAATCTGTGTTTGTTTTTTTTTGTTTTTATTTGTATGTAAGTGAATTCTCTGTAAGAATTATGGACTAATACTGTTATAACAACATTCCAAATGATTTATTTACACAAGTCACACAAGTCAGTTCAGGCAAACTAGCGAAAATAAATATTTAAATGTGTGTGTGTATATATATATATATATATATATATATATAAAAACCAACAAATAAATGAATAAAGCAAACTTATAAAAAAACTAACTAGAAATATCGTAGATCAAATTATCCCCGGGGTAGGTTTCAGTATATTAGTGGGAACCTGATTATTGTTGAATTTTTGGAGTAACTAATCTCGGACTTTCTTATTATCAAGGGCTTAAGTGAACACGGTTTGGGGTCCTGATGGCATGGACTACCAGCTGCTCCTGAACGCCTTTCTCAGAGACGTGAGTGATGTTTATTAGTGCGGACACCAGCGAACAGGTGATTCAAATCTGACCAGGCCACCGTGTTTCAAAGATATTACATGGAACCATTCGTATCCCCAACCGACATATAAAGGTCTACAGAATAATATTTTTCCATTCATGGTTATTAAAAATACTGACAACAGTAAGCACTGAGCAGAGACACAAACATGTTTGTTGTGTCCGATATATATTCCTTTTAAATGTGAGTGTTTTATGTGACAGTTTAAGACCCTGTCTAGATCCTGTCCCATGGCTTGTTTTATCAGCGTAGTAATGTACACAGATAAATATACACAACATGTACCATTCCAGCGCCTTGCCAGATACGCTCACTAAAATGCTATCCAAGACACAAACACACTGTGATTCCACAAAAGAAAACCGTGACCTCTTTCAGGACGTTAAATACAGCACTGCATTTAACAGGACATAATCTAACTACAGCTAAATCATTTTCTCTGACATGTAAACTCAGAGAAACAATTTATCTCACAGCCGCGAGAGCCGTAGCAGCCAAACTGCAGCAAGTTTCAACATTATACTCTAAAAGGAGAATTTAAAAAACTCGAGGTTTGTGGGATATTACACAGTCAGGACCATTCCCTGGTGAAACCCCAATAATTTGTGGGTTAGTAGTGGGTAATCCTGTCTATCACAGAGCTTTACACGGATAAAAAGTAACATGCACTGCTTATCAGTGTATCACACAGCCTTACAGCAAAGTAACTCACAGTAATGTGTATATGTGTATCAGGGCTCCACAGCAATAAAACTCACAATAATGGGTAGTGTGCAAGCGTGTATCACAGTGCTCCACAGCAATAAAACTCACAATAATGGGTAGTGTGCAAGAGTGTATCACAGTGCTCCACAGCAATAAAACTCACAGAGTGTATCAGTGTATCACAGAGCTTCACTGTGATAAAACTCACAGTAATGTGCAGTGTGTTGAAAAAGAATCAGAGACTCCTAAGGATATTTATCTGCTTATCAATATATTAATGACAGACTGTAAGCTCGTCTAAATAAGGCCTTCCTCATATTCCCTTTCTTTCACTGAAAAAGCGTTGCAGAATATGTTGGCGCTATATAAATACTTGTAATAATAATATACCACAAGCTAAATAATTTCAAATAGCATTTACACTCACTTTCATAGAGTCAAAAAAGCCCAACAAATGTCTAAAGAAAGTGCCCTTTAAACCGTATGATGGACGGATTACAAAGTGTCCATGTGCCAAAAGCTGAAAGATTACATGGGATAGAGATGACACAATGTGTGTGTTTGTGTGACAATATGTGTATTTGTGTGAGAGGTGAAACAGTGTGTATTTGTGTGACAATGTGTATTTGTGAGAGAGGTGACAGTGTGTATTTGTGTGACAATGTGTATTTGTGTGAGAGGTGACACAGTGTGTATTTGTGTGACAATGTGTATTTGTGTGAGAGGTGACACAGTGTGTATTTGTGTGAGAGGTGACAGTGTGTATTTGTATGACAATGTGTATTTGTGAGAGAGGTGACACACTGTGTATTTGTGTGACAATGTGTATTTTTGTGAGAGGTGACAGTGTGTATTTGTGTGACAATGTGTATTTGTGTGAGAGGTGACACAGTGTGTATTTGTGTGACAAAGTGTGTATTTGTGTGAGAGGTGACACAGTGTATATTTGTATGACAATGTGTATTTGTGAGAGAGGTGACACAGTGTGTATTTGTGTGACAATGTGTATTTGTGTGAGAGGTGACAGTGTGTATTTGTGTGACAATGTGTATTTGTGTGAGAGGTGACACTGTGTATTTGTGTGACACACTGTGTATTTGTGTGACAATGTGTGTATTTGTGTAAGAGGTGACACAATATGTTTGTGTCTTTTCTCCCCTTCCTGCCTTGATAGACTTATTTAAAGCATGTAGGAGAGTTTGCTTTTTGCTATGTTTCTATTGTGTTTGTTTGTGCATCGATTCTGTTTCTGTTTGGATTACTTTTCTAAGTCTGACATGTTTATGTTTTTCTATTTCTGTCTGTCCTGTTTTTCTTTACTCTTTCCTATCGAAACGTAACAGATATATAATAGATGCAATCCCTGAGGCAAGTAACATTTAGACATATTTTGGGACAGATGAAATGATTTATGGTTCTATTCAGTAAACAGTGGCCTTCTGAAGTGTGCCAATAAATAAGAAGCAACATTTAGGTAAAAGGTCACGCTGGTAAAATTCCATTTTGTTGTTTTTGTTTTTTTGTAACTCTGTTATTCTGACTTGAGTACAAGTCACTGTTTAATTATAGAACCCTTTAGACAGTCTCCTTCTTGTTACGGATCTTGCCATTCCTATAGTCTTAGCAGCATGCTCCATACATTAAACATAAAGAATGTATCAGATAGACTCCAATAGATCCCATCCAAGTGCCCCACACACCACCAGTCCAGCACGGCCCAGGTTGGCCTTTCCTAAGTCTGAAACAAACACGAATGTACATTCGGTATATTTCAAGGGAAACCATTGGGAATTACACTGGATATATACGGGACAAGGATTGGTTTAGATAGCACAGCTATTTCCTAATTGAAGGGATTGTCACTGAATCCCTCTACCATGCTATGTTCGTTTAGATATTTATTAGATACATTATTAAATTACCAGCCAATGGTTTCAGCAAAACATAGCGACACACATAGATATTTCTGGTTTGCACAGAGGTGGGCAATCCATTTACTATCAATCCCATTAACTCGGTCAGCTCAATCAGAGATCTATAGGTCAAGAAATCAGTGAAGGATCATGGAACTTGTATTACCTTCACAGGTGGAAAGCTAACCCAGGTATAGATAAAAAAAACACATAATTCTAAAATATGAAAACGGCTGAGAAAGTGTTTAGACATTCACTGATGAATGCAGACTCACATAGCTCGTTTGTAGATATTTCTAACATACACATAACTGAGCCTGTGTCACAATTAAAGGGAAATTATATCCCAGTGGATAGAGGGGCACTTGGGCAGCGGCCCACCAGTTTTTATATGGGAACATTTATCTGCAGTAGTTTAGATACACTAAGGTTCTTTTCCTGGAGGTGAGAGTGGTAAGCCAAAAACATATTTGAAAATATAAGTGTCTCTTTAATTCTCTAATAGGATTCAGTTCTGCAGGGCCCCTCCCAACCTCATTGGTTGCTGTTAGGCAAGTAAAAAAATGGGTAAGGTTTGAATTCTGCCCTGTTTCAGCAGGGTTTGCACATGCCTAGTCTCTCCAGTTGCCCATAAGTCGTGGCATACTACAGGCCTCTCTTCCGGGGTCATCATTGGCTGATAGCACCAGGGGGTGAGGTACAGTGCCCAGATTAGAGAGAAGCAAGAAGCCATCTTGGAAGTAGCACAAAGAGAGTACAAGTTAGTCCACCTTAGACTTGTCTTGTGGACATTTTCTTCCATGTCTGCTGTGGATCTCTCCAGCTGCTTCTAATTAATCGTTGGTCTCTCGGGGGCTCCTCTGCTAATGCTCTCTTACACAGTCACTAGGAGATTTCTTAAGGAATTGTTGTGGTTATACAATACAAATTTCTGTTGATTAATAATAGATTTAATGATGCTCAGGGGGATGGTCAGAACTAAAATCTCTTGATATCTCACTCTGATTTCATACAAACATATCTCCTAACATTGAGGGTGGGGTGAATTTGGGAGGTGTGCCATAGACAACAAAATGTGTGGTCCACCCCGGAAGCACTCTCTACATGGTCCTAGGGCCCTCAGCAAACTTAGTATCTTCTTAAATAAAACTCTTGGGCTATTTACTAAATCAGGAATTGTCAAGAGTTAACCACAACATTAAACATTTTTGGACATGAAAAAAAAAGAATTTCTCCAGTTTGGTTATTTTGGTATTTTTGTCTAAAATTAGCAATTTTCATGTCAACTCTCAATATAGGGGACAACCCTGTGTTTGTTAGAATGAATACTACAATTACCATAACCACTGCAGCCATGCCCTCATACACTCCCAAGGTAAGTAGTCTAACTACTGGACCGAGCTGGAAGCTTATTGGATGAATGCTCTCAGCCAATGAGCTGAGCCCTGCACAGGCAGGATCTCCAACATTTCCAGACTGTTTGACTACTTACTCCGAGAAAGCAGCATGGCACAGGGTATAGCAAGCTGTAGTGGTTATGGTACTTGCAGTGGAAATACCTACGGGTTCCAAAGCTTATCAACTGACAAAAGAATAAATAGAATTGTATCTGGTGATAAAAAATATTTGTAGGCTCTATCTTAAAAGGCCGGAAGGAGTATTTAGAAGCCGGTCTAATTTTTGACTCCTTTTTCTTCCCATCCCGGTATTTTGTCAAATTGTGATTTATAAACCATATAGATTCAAATTAGATTAACAGTCATGGCAAGTTTCCTCCTAAGCTTTCACTGTATAATTGTATTAATAATAAAAAACAGGCCACGAAAGAAAAATCTTTTTTTTTTGCAATCCACAAGCAATATCAGCTGACCTGACGCTTAAAAATCATAATTATATACATTTTTATTATTTCAAATAGAAAGACATGCCAGAGAAGCTCCTCGTTAAAGGTCAACTGCCTAAAAATATATCAATTTTAGAAAAGTAAAACCCCATCTTTGGAGAATCTCATAAAAACGTTTCTTCTCTGGCGTGGAGTACAAAGGAAAGAATTTCTATATTCTTACTAGTTATCCGATCCTGCCTTTTATCCTTGGCAAACGATAACATTAAGTTCTATCTATAGACAGTTTCCAAGGATTCCAACAGAGTAAAAATGAAGCGAATCTGCCAAATGTGAAGAGAGCAGCTGCCAGACCCTCTGTGGATCCCTCTGTTAGTGTATACTTAGCTGGGATATTATAGGGAAGGGGATTTGTCTCTGCTAGCCCTGTTCAATGATTGCACATGGCTAATTCTGTGAGAGCCCCTAGATTTCAACAATCGTTCGTCAGGCTGGCACAACACCGGAGGCCTGATAACGTGGAACGCAGAGCACACAGAAATTCTTAGGATAGGGGGCAAATTTCCGGAGGGCAAGAAAGTGGGGTTGAACAGTCTGGAAAATTGGGAAAAAAGTCTAAAGATGGATTGTCATAACTTTGTACCCCAGTTTTCACAAAGAGGTGACATTAGGAGTAAGTCAAGACGTTCTAAGAGTTTCTTATGCTTACCTCCTCTCTACTCAAATAATCACTTGTATCGAATTTACTGAGGTGAGGGAATAGGAAACCCTGACAGATTTGTATCACTTAGAAACTAATAAACACCAACATGGTGTATCTGCTTGGATACTTCCTGTTGCCCCTGGCCTAATGCTGTCCTCTTTATCTACAGGGGCACAAGGTGTATGTCTCAGGCAAACTAGGCACAAACGGGGCATAGTGATGGCATCTTATAAGCAAAACTAGGTAAATAGTGGGTGGAACAAAATGCTATTCAACTGCCCTAGAATTAGCTGCTCCGATGGACTGCCAAACTCAGTGCTTCCAGGGAAGAACTGGCAAAGCCCAGTAAAACCCAGTGATACGATTCCATTCAGGTCTTTCCTAATAGTCAGGGCCTTTAACAGGCGTATCACTCAGTGCTCTTAGTTCATGGGTTAATGAAGGATTAGAACACCCAGTCACATTGGCGTTACATCTGAATAAAGCTCAATATGTTTATTTAAACAAAAATATTTTTGACCTTCTTCATTTCCTCATTCTACCTTCCTACGCTTTAGTCCTTAAGTTTAATTTCCTTTATGTCTTTATCTGTCCCTTCCCCTTTCTGTACGTGACCCCTGGGCAGCAAATCGCTTGCAGGTCATAAACATCAGGGGGAAATAAGCCATTTGTTACTTCCTAATATACTTCCTCCTGCAGGAAATGAGCAGAGAGACAGGATGCTTCCTAAGGAAGCACATCACTTAACCCTTTGCTGCTGAATACATTATAAGAAAATCAGATCTTCTGATAACACTATGACTCCCGAGAATAAAATGTCCCTATGGTTCTATTTGGTACTTATAAAGTATTATTCTCTAAAGTATGAATTCATAGTGAATCTAAAGTAAATTTCAAATTTCAGGTCAAAATAGCCGACCTGGAGAATTTCTCTAAGTCCGCTATGATTTCAGTTTGGAAAATCTGGCTTTAAATTTGAAATTCAATTTTAATTCTCCCTTTTAGTAAAAAAAAGCCTGATAAGGTTAACCATGTGATAATGTCAAATGAAAGTCTATAATCTTAGTTTTATTTCTAACGATTTAAAGCACGTGCAGTCACTGAAAAGCATAACCATCTGTTGGCTGCCGCTGATACCAAATCCCATCATTCTCAGTCGACCAGTGGCTTTCATTAAAGCAGCATCTCACATTATGCTAATTCAGCTATATGCAGTCTGTCCAGCCGTTGTGGATATTAACTTCCATCACTCTCAGCCAAGAGTCCCACCATACTTAGCCAGCCATGAATTCAACAATCCGGCTGATGTTGGCTGCGCTTAGCCATGCAAAGGCTGTCATTGCAGTTACGACAGACAGCTGACCCCATCATGCTCAGCCAGCCCAAGCCTGGCAACCCAATGGCTATAAATTACCTGCAGTGTCAAAACACAATGTATATAAATGGTTAATCCAGGTCAAAAATGAAATAATCTCTCCACTCAGAGCTCACTATATTGCATCCAGGGCTCCAGCTCCACTGTCTCAACTCAGACATGCATCAATTACCTATGCTGATGGGCAGAAGATGAAAAGCTGTGCCCTGTAATATTACCATTCATATACAACAGGATTCCACTTTGGTGAGGGCAGTGATTTCTCACCAGTGGCACAGGAATTCTACATGCACTTTCAGACACAAGTGATACATATCCAGGAAATTCCAGCCATACTTTCATCAGACGAAGCTGCATTACATGACAGCAGGTGAGGATGCAGTGTGGCAGGATATTATCACTGAATGAAGGCAGAGGAAGAAGTGATCAGCATACAATAGCCACTTGTTAGATCTCCCTGCTTGTGCACAGGTGATCTCACTGTGACAGCTCCAGACATCCTATGGACGTGTTCAGCTGGTGGGGTCAAGGGGGGCATGCTGTGATGATCATGCAGGATATATCCACCTATTGTTGTGTTTCACAAACAAAACACCATCTCGATGAACTCATTCTACAGCTGTCCCAGTATCAGCTGCAATGGCGATTGAAAGGGACTAACTCACAGAGGGCTAGCAATCAGTGAGGACAATAAGTGTTGTGTAGCTCATACGTAAGGAGAATTTCACCATTTCTGTTATAATGGCCAACGTTTAGCAAGTCACCTGTCCTGAATCTTCATTTAATTAATTATTCAGGCTATTCACCGACTTGAGTGTAACTTACATCAAGCTGATCATAATCTTTAGACTTGAGGAGTCTCTGAATTTCTCATAGATTTGACAGACAAACTCAGCTGGATTTCGTGGCAATTCAGACAAACTTTCATGGGCCGTTAGCATTGCAGATGATCTCTCCAGGTATCAGACCTGTCAAATTCAACGTGTGATCTATGCGGAGGCTTCCGTCTGAATTCTTACAGAGTTCAGACATAAAGGAAGGGACACTCTAAGTACCATAACTACTATAATGTAATGAGTAGTTTATTACAGTGGTTATGGTACACAGAGTCTTTACATGCAATCCCACTTGTAAGACCAACACCTGCAATCACAGTCTATCACTCCTGTTTACATTTTGGATATTGGATATTGGACAATAGATATTGAGAAAAACGAAATTCCACTTTATCGGAGCGATAAGAAGTGGTCTCAGTTTTGGGGGAAGGGAGAGCCCAAGATTAGGTCAAACTGCTTGAGACCTACCCAAATCACTACAATAAATGGCAGTGGTTATTGTGCTAGGAGTATCCTTTTAATACAAAGTTACTTTTTACATATATATGGACAATACAGCATATCTGTGCATTTTCATATGCAAATCCTTAGCTTGAAACTGAGAAAATGTCCAAACCAAGACAAGTAGCCACAAATTTTGGCTACACAGCAGTGAGTCCAAAAATATCAACTTTATTCTATAACCTGATGATTGTAACTACAGCTTTATTGCATGATACACTTTGATACATTGATAGCTTGTGGCACGTTGACATGAAAGTGCAGTGTTCCCTCTAAGGACTATTCTGTGAGCAGATCAGAACTTAACTCGTTAAAAAAAAGGAAGCCGTTTTTATAGAAACAAGTGATATTGTCTTTCTAAACATTATTTACTGTGCTACTGCTTGACTGCTCACATAAATATACTCAGCAGAAATACAGGGTGTTTGCGATAAAGCAACAAGAGCTTTAAGCATACAAGGTTGTTCACTAACGTGAGAATTCAAAATGAATTAAAAATGTAAGGCCAGAGTAGCTGAATGGAAAGCATAGCTGACTTAGAGAATGTTTACAGTTTGGCTATTTTCATCTTAAATTTGAAATTCACTTTGAAATCACCTTGAATCCACACGTTAGTGAATAGACCTAATAAAGGCACGCAGGATCTTTTGACTGTAACACATGGGTTTTTCAGATAGCATCAGCTGTTTTTTTTTTTTTTTTTAAATTCTTTATTTTTAGTTCGACACCAAGTGCCACTGACCAGCAAAAAGTGGCCCTCGCAGGGGTCCATATGTAACATATATTGCAGTGAGTTATACAATGAAGAGTAAAAGGTTTGTCGGATGGTCTGGTTATCGTGGACCGTTTGGTGCCTGTTTTCGGTTTTAGGTCCGTTCAGGACCCTATATCAAACGTGAACAAAAACTAGTACTTTACAGTGTATGTAACATTGAGACATCATAAAAACCATTAGTCTTTCACAATCCTAAATTCCGTCTAGCCGTTGCATCTTGGTGTGGGTCTTCGTCAACTGCGTCTCCCGGCGGTCATGGCAGCCGGCTGTCCTAAGTTTTGGAGTCTCGTATAGTCAGTGGTTTGAAAAGTTGGGGAGGGGGGGTGGGGGGGGGGCCACCAAGTGGTGCTGTGGGGATGGAGCAGGAGGGGGAGAGGAAATGGTTGGTATATCTCGGGGCGCCCGGCGGGAGGAGGTCCACCGAACCACTGCGAACCTTTTACAGGCTATATAGCATCTTCGTTAGCGTACACTTCCCAGGGAAGCCAGATGTTTTGGAATGTTTTTTCCGTATTTCTGATTTGTGCTGTGAGTTTGTCCATCAAATAGGAGTCTTTGATTTTAACTATCACGTCGTTGTCTGTGGGGACTGTGGGTTTAAGCCACATCTGCGCGAGGGCTCTTCTCGCAGCCAGTGTGAGTTTATTTAAAAGTTGTTGCTCCTTCCTAGGAAGGCCGTCCGTTGGTCGGGACAGTAGCATCGCCCAGGGATCTAAGTCTATGTGTCGCGTGAGAACCTCTTTCACTAATCTTTGGACCCTTTTCCAGTATTTGGTCACTTCAGGGCACTCCCACCACATGTGAACAAAGGTGCCTTTGCCTCCGCAGCCTTTCCAGCATGTGTCTGTCGTGGTTTTCCCCATCTTATGGAGTTGTACCGGTGTTGTGTACCACCTCATAAGCATTTTATAGGATTGTTCTTGGTGTAGTACACAAATTGACGTCTTGGCCGTCGCTTCCCAGATATCCACCCAGTCCTCCCCTTCTAGAGCCCCCCCTAGGTCCTCCTCCCACTGGTGTATATATCTAGGGTCTGCAGTTCCCTTTTCTGGGGAACTCAACTGCGCATATATAGCCGTGATCAGCCCCTTTTGTGTAGTTTCTGTGTTGCACATTTGTTCGAAAAATGTCATAGGGGTCTGTGCTGCTTTTTTAATATCTGGGTTTTTGGCAAAGTCTCTCAACTGTACATATCTGAATACGTCTTTGGTTGTCAGGGGGGCCATGGCTTTTAGGGTGTCAAAGGTTTTGAAGGAGTCGCCGTCATACATATGTCCGTATCTTTGCATTCCTGTGTCTTCTATCCCCCTAAAATCTCGTGCGGTCAGCCCGGGTTCGAATGCTTTGTTCCGTAAGTATGGAGTCAGTGGCGAGGGTGTGTGTTTTAGTGCGTATTTGGTGGCTGTTAGGTCCCAGATCCTTATGGAATTAAGGATCGCCGGACAAGAGGTGCGTAGGGGTGGTCTGTCTTGTTTGGGTACCCAGATCCAAAATTGCGGGAGGTCCGTACACATAAGTTTTGTCTCTAGGTCTACCCACCTGTGCGAGCCCTCCGGAGTGTGCCATGGTATTATTTGGGCTAGTTGCGCCGCCAGGTAGTATTGATATAAGAGTGGGAGTCCTAGTCCACCCTTCGCTTTCGGTCGGTACATTACTTGTCTAGCAATCCTGTGTCTTTTCTGTGCCCAAATGAAGTTATCTATGTGTTTCTGGATTATCTGCAGGTCTTGTTTAGTGACTTTGGTGGGTAGGGCCTGGAACAAGAACAATAGTCGTGGGAGTAGTGTCATTTTAATTGCGTGTTGTCTGCCAATCCACGATATGGGCTTTTCGTGCCATTTTTCCAAGTCACGACAAAGCGCCTGGATTGTAGGCGGGTAATTGGCACTGTATAGTTTCGCCGGGTCTGAGGTGAGTTTAACGCCGAGATATTTAATTTCGGATCTCGTAAGTTTGAAGGGATAGGTGTTTTTAATGTCGTTAACGCTGTCTGCATCCATTTCTATTGGCATGGCCACCGATTTTTCTAAATTTATTTGATAGCCTGTGATGCGTCCGTATTCCTCTAGGAGGGTCATAAGTCGGGGCAAAGATTCTCTCGGGTTGGTGATCGTGACCAGGACATCATCCGCGTATGCGGAGACTTTAAATTCTTCGTCCCTCGCCTTGACCCCGGTTATGTGCTCGTCCTCCCGTATCCTCTGCAAGAGAGGCTCCAACAAGAGGACGAACAGCAGAGGGGAGAGGGGGCAGCCCTGTCTCGTGCCGTTGGCGGGCGTAAATGGGGTCGGGGTTGCTCCCTGTACGTTGGTCTGGGCCCTCGGATCAGTGTATAGGGCTTTTATACCTTTAACAAAGTTTTCTGGCATGTGTAGGCGTTCTAGTAGCGCAAAAAGGTAGCACCATTGCACCCTGTCGAACGCCTTCTCCGCGTCCAGGAAAAGGATCAGAGAAGGCGTCCGGGTCCTAGTCGCCCACCATATGAGATCAGCACCTCTCCTTGTATTTTCATATAGTTGCCTAGCCGGCACAAAGCCGACCTGGTCTGGGTGTACTATTTTACCTAGGAGGGGGTTTAATCTTGTTGCCAGTATTTTTGCAAAGATTTTTACATCAAAATTTATTAGGGAGATGGGCCTGTAATTTGCTGCTTCGGTTGAGTCCCGCCCTGGTTTGGGTATAAGTGCGATGTCAGCTGTGAGCATGTCCGGGTTTGGATGTCCACCGTCCATCCATTCATTGTACATCTTCGTCAGTCTCGGAGTTATCACTTCTCTAAATGTTTTATAATAGGAGCCGTCGAAGCCGTCCGGCCTCGGGGCTTTATTTCCCTTAAGGGCCGTGATCGCCCTGTCTACCTCCTCCTCCTCGATGGGCACTCCCAAGGCGGTTAGGGCCTCCGGGTTCGGTCCCGTCATATTCGTCCTGGTTACGTAGTTAGTTACGTCATGGGTGTATTCCCTATTTTTACTACTTAGTTCTGGGGAGTGGTTGTATATGTGTGATAGGAACTCCGTGAAGATCTGATTGATCTCCGTAGGATTGTGGGTCATCCGACCTTGTTTATCTCGGATCGCCGAGATAGTTTGGAAGTGAGGCTTGGGGTTTAGTGCCCTAGCCAGTAGGGTGTCCATCTTGTTGGAGCGTTCGTAGTAGAGGCGTTTTTTCCGAACGAGGTCCCGACCGAGATCCTCAACTGCTGTTGTCCTGATTCTGTGACGGAGGTCTCTAAGGTCCCGGAGGCCCTGTGTCGTGGGATTGCGTTTGTGGTAGGCTTCTGCCCTCCTCAGCTCCTTTTGGAGCTCGAAGAGAGTTTCGGCCCTCTGCTTTTTACGGCGGGTTGCAAGTTTAATGAGGATACCCCTCATGACCGCTTTGTGAGCGGCCCATATCGTGGATTGGGTTAAGTCCGGGTTGTCATTGTCTTCGAAATAGGTCGTAATTTCGTCTATTAAGAGCTTCTCCGTGTCTGGGTCCTTTATTAGTGTGCCGTTTAATCGCCATTTCCATGGGGGTTTGGGGCCTGGTAGTCTGAGAGTGAGTTCAACGTCGGCGTGATCCGACCAAGTGATAAGGTTGATACGCGCGGAGTGAACCCATGGGATCCCTGTTTGGTTGACTAGGAACATGTCTATACGGGAGTATGTGGAGTGCGCTGCCGAGAAGAACGTGTAGTCCTTCACTCCTGGATTGCATAGCCTCCAGGGGTCAATTAAGTTTGTGTTTTGTATAAATTTGATCAAGAGTTTGTCTTGGCCCCTTGTGGTCTGCGTCTTATGGCTACTAGTCGGGGCGCTGCGGTCGACTGTGTGGCAGGGTGTAGCGTTTAGGTCTCCCCCTAGTATTATGATTCCATACGGTAAGGTGTGGATTAAATTATGGAGCGTTTCCCAGAATTCCGGGTCTGGCTGGTTAGGTGCGTATATATTGATCAGGTGGTACGTGGTGGCATGTATGGTCCCCGTGAGGACAACGTACCTTCCCATAGTGTCCGTGTGCGTCGTTTGGGCCACGAAAGGGCATTTTTTATGTAGAAGTATTTCAACTCCGTTTCTTTTGGCCAGTGCCCTGGAGGAGTATGCCCTGGTATATAGATGGTCTGTTAGTTGGATCCGGGCTGACCGCAGGAGGTGCGTTTCCTGTACAAATGCTATGTCAGTTTTTTGTCTTTTAACTTCCCTCATCAGTAAACGTCTTTTGGTCGGGGTGTTTAAGCCATTTACGTTCAGGGAGGTAATTTTTAAGGTCGCCATGTTGTGTGGTTTTGTGGAGTCCCACCCAACCCCCTGCGCTCCTTGTCTTAGACCGTCCCGCCGTGCGCCCCGTTAAGGCCTTGTGGGTTTGTGGCCCTTGCTGGCCCTTGGGTGGGGGCGGGGAAGGGGGAGGATGGGGAGGGGCGGTGGGAGACAGGGAGGGGGGGGTGAGGTAGCGGGGGAAGCTACTTTAATTTGGGAAGTAGTGGGGAAGAAAACTGTCCCGGTCTTATCCAGGTGTGCCGGGTATCCCGGGGGGTGGCCACCCGCTCCGCGGCGAAGTGTGTAGGCACGGAGGGGGCAGTCATCCGCCAAGCACCCTGGAGTCTGTCCGCTAGGGTCGGTCATTTCTCACCCGAAAGTCCAGTCTCTGCAAGGTCGGTGGGTCTGTTCGTCCGAGTGTGTCACGTCTCATACATATTTACAAAACAACATTAATTATAGCATACATCCCAGCTTGAATGAAGGCACAGGAAAACCACAAGATAATACAATACAGTGCACTATAGTACAGTACCCCCTCCCTCTGACCCTTTTGGTTGTGTTAGCGTAGGCTATCCGCTGCTGACTATCTCTACGACACCGGTGTTGTGCAGGGGTTGTGTGTTTTTTTTTTGTTTTTTTTCTCTCCTTCCGTGTTCCTCACCCTCCTGCTTACTACCCTGTAGACCCGGGGTTCCCATGCAGCCCGTCGTCCCAGGTATGGGTGGGATTTTTTACCCTAGCGCTGTTGATGGCCGCCTAGTCGTAGCCCCTAATCTATTTCTGTGCCTGGAGGTGGCGCGGGAGTACCTGGGATGTGCGGGGGGGGGGCCTAAGTCCCTATGTGTGGTGTCTTTTAAGATATGGGGCGAGTGTCCCCATGCTGTACTCTGCTTCCCGCGTTTCTATTGCTCAATGAGCCACCCCCCCTGTCCTCCCCCCGTGTGCGTGATAGTGTGCAGTAAAAAGTATAAACTTGCGTATCCGGGCGTAATTGTGGTAGGCGCCCCCGTCTTTAGCAAGTCCATAAGGTGCGCCCATAGGGACACCAGGTCTGTCGCTCTTTCTGGCTGGTTATTGGTTGTTCTCCTGCCGGTTGACAAAGTCCATTTGAGTCTATAGGCTTGGCTTTTGTAGGGTCTTGTCTTTAGCTTCGGGTTGTCTTTGGCGTCGATTTTGCTAGGGCAGATATCTAGGGTGACTTGATCCTCTGTGGAGATGTCAGTTGGTGATGTTCCTTTGTCCCCAGCTCATGTAGCTGTGGTGTATGTCCATGTGAGATGTCATGCGCAAATAGCTTCTCCTTTGGGGTTCTTTGCCTTGAGTCGGTGAGCATTTTCAGGCCTGTTTGCCTCTGTGGTTCTGTGATCTCTTCCTTTATATGGTTAGAGTGAAGTTCTTCTTAGACTTCGTGTGTTGCGTTTTCTGCGTATGTTGGGGCGAGGGACCGGGCTGTGCCAAACCGCACCGCCTTTGTCTTCATTACTAATTCTGTATCGGCATTATCTTTTTTTTTAATTTTTTTTGTGTTTTTTTTTTATTTTTATTTATTTATTTTTTATTTAGTTATTTTGTTTTTTGTTTGTTTTTCTGGGTTTTCTTGTTGTTTGTTTTGTCCTTCCCTTCCCGTCAGTTTTAAGGTAGGTTTGTCTGTGAATGGTACTGTCAGGGTTTTGGTCTCCTGTGCCTCTAGAGCTGTAGGTTTCTTTGAGTGGGATGTCATCTGCTGGCCATGCGTCTCTTTTCATTGTTGGCTGGTTCAGAGTCCTTGTGCGTGCAGGGGAGAGTCGTGTGTCTTCGATGGTAGAGAGGTTGTTGTGCATTGGAGCAAGGGTCTGTTTTACTGTCTATGAGGCGCGTTACCTTCGATCGCTGCCCCTTCTCTAGGTATGGTACCTAACGCTTGGGTGCCCCTTTGAGGGAGGTGGAAGTCCGCCGGGACCTCAACTCCTATCTCGTGGAGGAAGGCTCTGGGGTCCGCCGTGGGTAGTAGCACCACAGGTCTTGGCCCGTTGAATACCAGCATTTTAAAGGGGTGGCCCCATGCAAAGTTAAGGCCTTTTGCTCTGATTAGGTCTGCAATGGGCTTCCATTCTCTGCGTCTGGCAAGCGTGGCTGGCGCTATGTCTTGGAATAGGTGTAATGTAGCGCCATCTATGGCATAGGTGTGGTGTCTGGCACTTTTAAGTATAGCCTCCTTGGTGGAGAAAAAATGCCACCGCATAATTACGTCTCTCGGTGGCCCGTTGGGGGGTCCACGGGCTCTCAGCGCCCTGTGTGCCCTGTCGACCACCCACAAGTTTTCCGGTATAGCTGGCAGTTGTTCTTTAAATAGAGCAGTTAGCACCATCTGTAGGCCTGTATCTTTAATCTTTTCAGGCAAACCCTTAATTCTCAAATTGTTTCTGCGTGACCTGTTGGATGCATCTTCGATTTCTGCCTCTAGCTCTGCCACTTTTGCCATTAGGGTGTTGGTGGCTGAGGCTGCTTCATTATGGGCCGTCACTACGTGGTCCATTCTCCATTCTAGTGCCTCTGTGCGCTGCCCTACTGTTTGTATCTCTGCCTTGACTTCTCGGGCTGATCTCTCTATCTCCCCTGCAAGGTAGTGTTTGACTTCTGCCAGTGAGTGCAGTATATCAGAGGTGGTAGCCTGCTGTGACAGGGCTGACCAGTCATTGGCGCTCTGTGGGCTTGGGCAGTTCGCGCTCTCCTGACCGCCGCCATCTTTAGGCGCTTGCGGCCTAGGTGTGGTGAGGAGGTCGGCGACGGAAGGGGTGCTCTCCCGCGGCTTCTTACCGTTTTTTTTATACTGTGCCATCTCCGGTTCACCCCCTCTCTCTTGCCGGGTGAGTTGCAGAGGCTGTGGTCGGATGTGTGCTTCTGGCTGTGCTTTGCGGACCGCTCCGAGTGCAGAGCTCTCTGCCTAAGCGGCCATCTCATTCGGCGGTCGAGCCACGCCCCCATCAGCTGGTTTTTGAGCACAGACTTTTTGGGTAGTTTCACCTGGGATTTTTGGGCAGTGCCTTGATACCTTTTTTTACAAAAATATGAGAATATTTTGCAGCCTTTAACAACAAATATTTAGGTCTCAGAACAAGACGTACCTTAATGCCCTCGATTCTGAAGCCCAGAGTAGCCGTGGAACTGATTGTCTCCCGCCATGTCATGTAGCGTGGTTTGGTCACGGCTCGCTGCTGGTTCTCTTCGTCTGTTGGGGCCTCCGGGTCGACATCAATCATCTTAAGGTACATGTCCTTTCTGAGGCTGGGCTTCTTTCTGGCCTTTGTGAGCTCTTCTTCTAAATAAGTCCTGTGCATAATAATAATAAAACCAAAATTAAATGAAAATAGTAAATACTAAAAAGTGCTCACAAAATATATGAAGAATGACTAACATTTTTGTAGCATATGTTGTCAGACTGTAGTTCTGGTCATGCAAGTATCCCCTGTGGTCTCTAGCTTACCAAAACACCTTAAAGGGACCCAGTAGGCACTATAACTATTTCATCTAATTGAATTGGTTATAGTGCCTGGAGTTCCCTGGTACTGTCCCTCCATTCAGCGTTAAGCTGTTTTCAAGCAGCTTAACACTGAATGAGGATTCCTGGCTTACCACAGCCCGGCCCACTGGAGGTGAGGCTAAAGCAAAGATTACACACCTTCTTCTAGCTGTAACAATTCGTACCAGCAATGCGCAGTGTGATAGGCTGAATGCAGTCAGCTGACACTCTCAGCCAATAACAGCCAGCCTTTGCTGCTCAGGATAACAATTCCTCATTATACCAAGCATCACAAAAGGGATGGACTGCTGGGAACTCTTGTTTAGCATTAAAACCAGTTTAATGCTTATAGGAAGAACAGTGCCAGAGGACTCCAGACATTATAACTATTTCAATGAGATGAAGCCGTCACAATTCCTACAGTGCCCCTTAAATTCAATATTGGTGGCTATAGTGGTGCAGGTTCTGGTAAGATAAACACCAGAGGTCACTTTGGGCTCTTATGAAATTAAGTGACTGATTTATTAAATGGACTTTATATGATGAAAGTGAAACGCGTTTACAATGCATCATATAGATAACCCGTGAAAAAATATAGGAATATAAGAAATAAAGCTAAAAAATAAATATAAAAGGAAAGCAATTAAGCAGTTACTAGCAGCCGCTAATCCAAAGCCAAGTAAAAAACTACAGGTTAAATCTAGGTATAACTTTTTTATCACCTATTTTTACTTTGAATGAGTCTCTTAGCTGTTTTTCTCCTAACTCTCCATTGCTCGCTGCCTTTAATATAAAAGGGTCTTGTAGCACTCAGATGAGCAGGTCTAACAACTCTTACACCTATACATGAATTTGCCATGGCATATTATTTTACCTGGTTATCATTTGTATTAACATCAAAGCCTGCTATTTTTGATCCTGCTTTAGATATTTGAGGATCAGGGTGCAGAAAGTTCCTTCAATCTTTAATTGGACAATTAAAAGGAATTGCAGCAATTCCCCTGGCTCAGACAGTTACAGGGACCTTGAGCTACTCTGTGTTCTAACAAATTCCACTGACCACATCTGTTATTCCTGTCCAGCTGTTTATCTGCAAATACCCCCAAGTCCTCTTCCTGTTTGGTTGAGGGAAACTCTTTCCCTATTTAGTACAATTACGCACTCTCTATTGTTATGTGCTAAATGGATCGCCGTTAGATTTTCCACTGTCAACAGCCCTTCAAATCTTACTGCGGAGTTTTTAAAAATGCCCAAAATATATGCACAATGAATCACACACCCTGTCCTTCCTTCAGACCTCCTGCTAGAGTTACTTCTTATGCATTCGAAAATCTACGTTAACATTGGTAACGTTGGAAACATAGCTATAACAGAGGATAAATGACAATTGGTCCATCGTGACAGCCAGTTACATATGCAAAGTCAGAGTTTCATCTGTAATTTCTATCTTTTTTTATTTTTTATTAAAAACCTTGAATATTGTCCTAGTCATGTCGTATGAGCCGTGCATTTTTTGGTCATGTTTAAATGTTGTGCACCAAACACTGAAGTATCCTTTATGAAAACAAAATGCTTTTTGTTGCAGTTGGGTTTTTTTTAGGGACACTGTTTGTTTTAATTTAACAAAAACTATTTATGTAAATGCAATTACACACAAAAAATGTAGCCATGTTTTAATGATAACGTGTATGTGAATGTCAGTATATCTTAGTGTGTATGTGTGCCCCAAATCATAATATGTGAGTGTATCAGTGCCTTATTATATGCGTTATCCATGTACACGTAATTGAAATGCACTCAAACACTCGTCCTGGAAACCTGGGTGCAATAGAAGCTGGATAAGCCCCAGTACCAAAGGGACCAAATATCAGATTTAAATGTAGAAAATAATCCAGGCACTCCAAGGTATTCCAACAGATAGGCAATTTTATTGGACCCAAGCACCAAAAAACAAAGTTTCGACCACTTAGGGCCTTTGGCAATCTGTTGGAATACCTTGGAGTGCCTGGATTATATCCTACATTTAAATTTAGTATATGCGTTAGTCTGAGTGTTTATTGTATGTGCGTGTATCAGTGTCCACTAATGTAGTCCACAAAACGGTAGAGTGTCAAGGAAAGCAATCTCCAATCTATCATAATTCATTTTAACTTGACCCAACTTACCGAACCCCCATTTTGCAGTCCATGACACAAGGACTATCGAATTCAGAGAGCAGGTCGTCCATTTGGTTGTACTTCTCCCCGTCTTTCAGGACATCTCCGTGATAGGCTGGAACGTAAGGCCTGAGCACATCTTCCATCAGCAGACTCAGACAGCGCTGCTCACAGTCACAGTGCTTCTTCAGGATCTTCCCATTGGCTGCAGGCTTGAAACTTCCTGAAATTCCCCCCAAAAAAACAGACTTTTGAAAACATATAATTATCAGCAATCACAGCCCTGTTTATTGTATTTCATACTGCTTAGATGTGCATTGTGTCAGCAGTAGTCAGCTTTTCAGCACACACTGCAGTCCACATGTTAACATCAAGCCCTTCTGTGTATCAAGCAATAGATAACAGAGCAATAAAAACAGTGCATATAGCACTACTAGGTATCATGGCACAGAATGCTACAGTATCATGGGTATCATGGCACAGAATGCCACAGTACCATGGTTATCATGGCACAGAATGCCACAGTATCATGGTTATCATGGCACAGAATGCCACAGTACCATGGGTACCATGGCACAGAATGCCACAGTATCATGGGTATCATGGCACAGAATGCCACAGTACCATGGTTATCATGGCACAGAACGCCACAGTATCATGGTTATCATGGCACAGAATGCTACAGTATCATGGGTATCATGGCACAGAATGCCACACGACTCGTGTTTCTGTCTGGGGGCTTGTAAGAATTTTTGTGGTAATTTACTATTGTTTTATTGTGTTTGCCCTTGCTTCTGTCACTTTGTTTATCTTTTTTTTATATGTTTTCACTCTGGTACTTTTTTGTACATAATAAAGCAAAGTTTTTTTTGAGATTGTTATAGTGTGCATTCTATATTCTATATACATTTGAATATTTAAAGCACTTGAGGGAGTGTTTATATGGTTTGCACCTGGCTGTTCTTATACTATTTTGTCTCTCCATGTGCTGTTGTTTTGAGAACAGAATGCCACAGTACCATGGTTATCATGGCACAGAATGCTACAGTACCATGGGTATCATGGCACAGAATGCCACAGTATCATGGGTATCATGGCACAGAATGCCACAGTACCATGGTTATCATGGCACAGAATGCCACAGTACCATGGGTACCATGGCACAGAATCAGGGCCGGACTGGCCCACCGGGATACCGGGAAATTTCCCGGTGGGCCGGCACACTAGGGGGCCGGTGCGCGGCCGTCTAGTGTGCACCAGCCCGGGCTGCAATTACAGGGTGACCGGCAGGAGGGGATACGCTCCCCTCCTGCCGGTCACAGAATGGAGCGTGGCCGAGCAGGCAGACCGCAGTTCCCCTACCCGGTCTGACAGGAAACTGCAAGAGAGAACGCTCCTCCCGTGAGCAGGCAGGTTGGAGCGTTGCCGTGCGTTACCATGGCAACGCTCCGACCTGCCTGCTGCTCTCGCGGGAGGAGAGCGAAGTCAGCCTGCAGCCAGAGGAGCTGCAGGCTGAACAGCACGCGCCACCACTGGACCACCAGGGATCGAAGAGTAGCCGTTCCCCCTCTCCCCTGACCAAAGGTAAGGTGGGAGGGGGGTAAAATGAAGTTTTTTTAAATATATATCGATGCCCATACACACACTGCACCCCTCCCCCCCACCAACAGCACCCCTCCCCCACCAGCAGCTCCCCATCACCCCCACCAACAGCCCCCCCCCCACCAACACCCTCCCCTCAACAGCACCCCTCTCCCCACAAACAGCCCCTCCCCACCAACAGCACCCCCACCACCTCCCCTCCCCCCACCAACAGCACCCCCCTCCCCCACCAACAGCCCCTCCCCCCCACCAACAGCACCCCCTCCCCCACCAACAGCTCCCCCATCCAGCAGCACCCCCTCCCCCACCACAGCTCCCCATCAGCACCCCTCCCCCCAGCAGCACCCTCCCCACCAACAGCACCCCTCCCCAGCACCCCTCCCCCACCAGGCCCCTCCACCCCACAGAACCCTCCACGAACCCTCACGCACACAGAACCCCTCCACACACACACAGAACCCCTTCACGCACACAGAACCCCTCCACGCACAAAGAACCCCTCCACGCTCACAGAACCCCTCCACGCTCACAGAACCCCTCCACGCTCACACAGAACCCCTCCACGCACACACAGAACCCCTCCACACACACACAGAACCCCTCCACACACAAACGGCACTCTCTCCACACACACACACAAATGCACGTCTGCGTCTGCTTACAATAAATCTGCTCTGCTTTATTTTGAAGCCCTATAAGTGCTTTATTTCATGTTTGAGTGCTAGTTTTAATTTTTTTTCCCGCTTCCATATCTGCGCACTATGCTGGCACGATGCATTACGGGGCTGGTATGGAATTTTTTTCCAGGGCTGCTTTTCATTCCCAGTCCGGCCCTGCACAGAATGCCACAGTATCATGGGTATCATGGCACAGAATGCCACAGTACCATGGTTATCATGGCACAGAATGCCACAGTACCATGACAAGATGGTATGTCATATTGTGGTAAGGAGTGTCGGTACAGATGGTAGTATGGCATATTATGGTAAGGAGTGTCAGTACAGATGGAAATATGGTATATTATGGTAATGAGTGTCGGTACAGATGGTAATATGGTATATTATGGTATGAAGTGTCGGTACAGATGGTAAAATGGTATATTATGGTATGAAGTGTCAGTACAGATGGTAGTATGTTATATTATGGTAAGATGCTATAACTGTGTTACCCAGTACCTGCATGTCCTGCCAGCTGGATCCAGGGGTACTTTTTCTTGAAAGACATGACAAACGGCGACCAGTGCACCATATTCTTGATTTTCCTCCATGACTTGCTCTGCAACATAAAATATAAGAAAATGGTTACGGCACAGGTATTAAATCACCCTAAAGGACAATTATATTGTAAATACACCTCTATATAAAATAAATCATATATAGTTATTGGGAGCAATCAATTTGCTGTAAAATCAGACTACAGCAGGATACCTTTAATAAAATATGTAAAAGGAGCTTCCTGAGTGCAGTGCTTTTATATCAGACTACAGCCAGAGTATTGAAATACAATGTATATATATATACACTTTTTGAATACAACATGAATTAATAAATCATTTTTTCTAGCAATCAATATGTTAAGTTTTAAACAAACAATTCTTGAGAACAAAATCCTACTGAAAGTGGCCATGTGAAGCAACCGGGTTACTTAAGGCTGCCTGTAATATCATTTTATTGATGGTGGAACTTGGGACACAGAGCCTATTCATAATGAATATAACCTTCCCAAAAGGAAATGTTGAGTAGTACAAGCCATAGTCATTACATGTAGCTGAACATGAGATGCAAGAGTTGTAGCTGAACATTATGTCCTAAATCGTGGCCACATTAACCCATACCTACAAATGTTATTTCCACCCGATAAAGCCAAAATTAGAGATTTATGAGATTTATTGAATTTAGGATGGAATAATGTTGGCCCCATCAGACGTTTCTATGAGTAACACTATAAGGGTTATTTACTAATCTGAAAATTCTAAGTGAATTCAGAGTAAATTACAAATTCAAGTCGGATATTCTTCTAGTTTGGCTTCTTTGCCCTTGAATTTGAGATTCATTTTGAATGCTCACGTTATTGAATAACCCAGTGTATTTATTTATCAGCACCCAAGGATATTGAAACAATAAGTTCTTCCACCCTAAATTTTACGTCACATATTAAGGGAACCAACAGAACCAGTTTTCATTTTCCAGATAGAGATAAGCTGTTCTAACACAATGTACAGAGATAATTTACTAAAATAATACATTTTTACTGTTTTAGCAAAATCATAATTTGCTGCAAATCAACTGTCGATAAATAATCACATGACTCAAGTTTGCATCATGAATTGACTTTGGTGAATTTTAATTTTTTTAATCAAATTCCGATGTTGAATTTTGAGATTTGGTGTGAATTTAATGCTATACGTTATACACTAAGTCACTTAAAACATAGAATGGGAACTGGGAAAAAAACTGTGGTATTTAATCAACAATCCATGCTGGCTAATGTCAATTCTGCACATATTTATATACACAGAGTTCCTTCCCATGAATGTCGGACGGGATCGTCATCAAGACGCTGGATGCACGTCACTCAGCAGGACAGCAGAAACACCATATAACTACTAAGCCCACTCACAATTTGAATTTCTGGAAGGGTCCCAGAGCACATTGGTGAGATGATAGGCAATCACACACGATATTATGGTTCGTTAAGGCACAGTAGGCCCTAATTACCTGCAGGGATTTTGGTCAGATAAATTGGTCTTCTGAACAAAGAAGAGTTATAATGGCGAGAGTTATAATCTCCAAAGAATTAAAGTGAGCCATGAGATCAACCCAAAACAGGGATTTACTTTAACAAATTAATACACAATACAGAGCATATAATAAAAAGAGACCTAAATAATTTTTATTTATTTTAAATAATAAAAAAAAACAATTGACAGTTGACATTTTGTCATTTTGACATTTACGACTGGCTGAGTTCGCAAGTAACTGTAGTTTGGAAAAATCTGGGATGAAATGGTTAGCCCCACTGGGGCTCTCTCAAATTCGGGATCCTGTTCAAGAGGTGTTCTTGGTCGTCCTACACTGTTTACAGACATTTAGCATCCCCACGTGCAAGACCCCAGGGAGAGCATTGATGGGCACTCTCCCACAATGCAGTAGGCATGCTCACACGATGCAGATGTTTTGTGAAAAGGTGTGGTATGGCTTGGGGTGGATTTTTGACGCAGAAAACTAAAAAAAACTGCATAAATATGAGGCCAAAAACTACTATTAAAGTTAAATTGCAGTATGTTCCTTTAATAATGCAAAATATGGTTCTGTATCTTTGCTAAGCTTCCGGGAATGTTTAATATAGTAATGTAAAACTGACATGGTAGATTTAATCGCAGAAATTCATAACATCATATCATTTGGTTTTAGAAACATCCTGTGCTGAAGGAACAGTCCAAGCCCCATAACAACTACAGTGTGCTATGGTGGTTATGGTTCCAGGAGTGATCTGGTACCTCCCCTTCCAATGTAAGTAGTCAAGCCTTTTGGAAATGTTTTGACTTCCTGCCATCGGTTCGCCAGGTATCTCTCCCTACCTTCAGGGGCACCCACCAGAGCCCAGGTAGGAAGTCATAATGTTACTAGATGGTTTGACTATTTACATTGGGGTTTGAACACAGGGACACTACTGTAGTGGTAATGGTGCTTGGAGTGTTCCTTTTATCTAGTCGGTCCTTAACCATTAACTACACCAACCCTACATGAAAATACAGTTTTAATATTAAAGGAATGAAAGAGACAATTGTCCAAGAATACCAAATATGAATATAAAAGGCTGGAAGACAGCTTTAGCCCATTGTGGCCCAGAGTTATGAGAAACACATTGCGTGGCACTTAAAGGGTTACTGGTTGTAAGAGGTAAGAGTTGTAGTTGACCCCCTAATGTTCTTTTACACTCGTTTTATTAATAAATATCTGTTACAAAGGTTTTTTTTTTCCATTAATTGGATATTGTGCAGAGCTGACAAAGGAGTTATTTTCGACCAAAATAACTAAAATCGGGGGAGGGAAACATAACTATTTTTTCAGCTTACCTATATTGCATAAAATGTGCAATGCTCTACTCAATTGAACCCTAAAGTGTAAAGATGTCACTGCTTCAGGGCTCTGTGTGTGTCAGCAATTGCAACACATTTTAAAAAGCTCTCGCACAACCTTCTGCATTCCACAGAATGGACACCTCTGTTATAACCTATTTGGTTTTTTTTGTTTGACAAAATTGTGCCTCTTCCTGGAAAGTGTGTGATTTTCCTAAGCAAAGTCCCGCTGGTTTGGGCTTGAGATCAATCGCCATTTGATTATGTCGACAGGGATGTTGTGTGTTAGTTAACCCCTTCACTGATGCAGAAAATGTGTACCTGTTTATTCACATTCAGATGACTAAATACCCAATGGAAAATGTAACATTAGTTTATTATATTTAAATGTTATGCCTTGTTAAAATGTGTCACTGGTTATTAAAACATGGGTTTGGATTTAGCGTTATTTTTTGCCATTTGATCAATTTTGAGGCATCCTTAATAATACATCTGAGCACATCTCCCCCAAATTAGCTATTTTGGCAGCATTTGAGCATGTTTACAGACGCATTATATCTTGCACCAGTAATACCATAACTTCTAAAAGGGTTTATTCAATTGTCCTATTTATAGTTAAATCCCTCCTCTAATAATATTGTAAAGCGCTACGGAATCTGTTAGCGCTATATAAATGTCAATAATAATAATAATTCACAAAATATAAGAGGCGCAGCTCACAAAACGTGCACCAGAACTCCCTGGACTGTACCCCACTTTCCCTGGACTGTACCCCCACACAATATATAACCCTGGAAAGCGTGTCACTGTACAAATAGCACTCTTATCGGAAAATAAGTCACAGCGTGATAACATTTTACCGGATCCGGTGAGGAGTTCCAAGATCTCTGGGGAAGGGAGAGCTCTCAAGCCTCAGGTATCTTCCAATGGCTTCTTGCCCCCTCTTCCCCTGATCTCACCTCCAAATAGCACTCTGTTTGGAGGTCTGGGGACCGAGTGATACCACCTAAAGATTAACCGAACCTTGGCTCAGTCCCGATATGAGGAACAGTTCCAGAGTGTTTCAGGGTATCTCCTGGCCCGGCATTCGATGTGGTCCTCAGATCACCAGAGGTTCTCAAGTCCAGAGTGGAAACACAGTAAGCCCCATACTCCTCCCCATGGTGACAATAGCCCCTTTTTAGGGACTCTTGGGACCAGGCCAATAGACTGTGGGCAGCAGTCTGGCCTTCAAGCCTCTCTAAAAGTCAGTGGTACTGGAGTTTCCGTTAAAGGTTATTTTAATCTAAATTTTGTAACTTGGTTTCCATTCCTCTACAGATTCGTCAATACACACACTCTATTTGTGAGACACACACGTTGTGCACAGTCCTCACAAGCACCTAACATAGCGGTTCTGACACTCAGCATCATGTGGATTGCTGTATAAAGCACCCAAACTTATTCCTCTCCTGATTTCACACCTGTCAAACTTGGCACATGTCACTAGATTTGGCCTTTAGTGAATAAACCCCAGATATGCGGGCATGAGCAGCAAACTATGTAAAATTCCCCTACAGTCACTCTGCTGGAATTTTCACAAATTAATAAAACATTGAAAAACACCTAGAACTTGTTACCATTTATATCGAAAGATGCTTTGTTTTCTTTTAATTTTACATTAAAGATTTGGCAAATGACATCACAATCTTGTTCAGACAAGGAAAAGTCAGGGCCAACTATGCAAATGAATATAGAAACCAGGTTTAATTTCTCCTCTTTTCTGTAAGCTGGCTGCAAGGAAGGTGCAAAGGGCAGAGCTTAGAACAATGATTGACAGGGAGCAAAGATGGTTCCTAGCTAAAGGATAAAGTTAAATGTTAAAGGGACACGTTGGGCACCCAGACCACTTCATTGAATTGGTCTGGGTGTAGTGTCACTGTCCTAATTAGTCCTGAGAAATAATTACATTGCAAGACTAAGACTGCCTATAGTGGCTGTCAATCAGACAACCACTATAGGCACTTCCTGGTTGCTAACAGACCCTGGACGTCCTCACGTTCTGCATACGTTCCATAGGAAAGCATTGAAGCACGGCTTTCCTATTGGGAGAGCCCTTTGCACTCACTACGTATGTGCATAAACCGCCATGTCGGATGGCGTTAGAGGAAGCAGAGCGCCGACCAAGTGCCGAAAGTCATCGGCGCTGGAATCTGGTAAGTGACTAAAAATTGTTACCCCTTTAGTTGCCAGGGGAGGAAGTGCGAGGGAGGGGGCATCTATAGTGTTAGCAATACAAATTCCTACACTATAGTATCTGTTTAAGTACATGTAAATACATTGTTACAAATCCCAGGAAGTCACTATTTGAGGAAATGTGATGAGCAACACAGTGTCTTATTTCTGGGAAACTGAGAAACCTGTCTATACTGATTCATTCCCAGCTTACACATGTTTAATAAATACAAAGACCAGGCAAGTAGCAATACAGTATTAATGACTGTCACTGGAAACTCAGGAATGTTGGGAAGTATAGACATATTCAGTTCCAGTTACAATTTAAAGCGGAACTAGCCTCAATCAGGCAATTAAATGTAATTTAAGCATTGTGTTAACTGATTCTATTCTGTTAGACATAGATCAATAAAAAAAATGAGACGTTTCTGTCTGTAACAATTACAGACAGGAAGTAACACAGACGGTTTTGCAATATTTAGCAGCTGATCATTTAGAGCGCAATTTCTGTCAGCGTCTGTCCTTTTCCAAATTGATCTACCCCATTATTGTCAAAGATTCCCAAAATAGTTTGGCTATTTTTACATACAGGGTACATCACATAGCATGACATAACCCTGATCCAGACCTCACAATTCACAGATGTAAAACTGCAGGATTTTAGAAACTGCAATGTTTACCTTGAAGGATTAAACATACAATAAAATTGTGTAATTTCACAAATCTATTATGGTGACTTAAAGGGTTACTCCAATTTAAAAAACTGTGTTTTCATAAAACACTGGTTTTGGTTGAATTATCCCCTTCTGTGCTGGTCTGCCCACCCAAAAAAAATTGAAAAAAAAAAGCTTATAAATATATCTCCTTATCCCTCATGGAGGAGACGTTCTCTCTTAGCTTAATACACCTTGGCTGATTTAACTCCCCTTCGCCAGAGGGGAAGAGATGTTAGGTGTCAGGCACAACGGACGGAGGGTAGGACAGAGGCTGAATGGAGAGGTCGGGCCTTCTGTCCAAATATGTAACTTTTCACCAAAACTTGCTGTTCAGTGATTAGATCCCCTGTTATATTTTATGCAAAGTTTTGATGAATCTTTATTATTAGTTTACATATTATGGATAAAGTTGCTGTCTAGGTTCCCAGATTGTCTATAATGTTATTAAAACATTACTTAAATGTCAGTGAGTTAACTTTCCTATACCCTTAGGTGTATCTGTCATGTTAACATTACATGTTATCTTTTTACTGATTACACAATCTTATTTATAAATTACACAAGACTAGGTGGCTTTTGTCTACTATCTTTAACATGTCAGTCGCTGAAGATATAAGGTGACGATAAGAAAACAACTACAAAAATGGCCAGCTCAGTGAATGACAGCGCATCCCCCACAAACAATCAACACCATGTCCGCGGGCTGCGTCCCTCAACGCACACAGCTTTTTGCACTACAAGATAGTTTTTGAGAATTGACCAAAAAAGTTAAGTTTTAGGCGGTAGCAGAATTGGGAAATTCTTCCACTCCTGTGGAAATGACATCATTGAATAAAGCGTTCAAAATCACCTAAAAGTTGTGTTAAGTTTTTCATGTGATGCTCTGTGTACTTTTAATCATATATTAAATATTTAGCAATCTACATCACAATCCAGTTCAGTACACATTGCATTGGAGTGCCGGATAGACTAAAAAAAAATAAAATTTACTTTAAATTCTCACATCAGTGAATAACCCTGTAAGAATGAATCTAAAATAGTCGAATTAGAAACATTCGCCAAAACAATGCTGTTTTAATATTGGCCATTGTGATCTTACAATTAAATTTTACTTTGAATTCACTTTGAATTGTCAGCAGTTCATAATACGGTGAATAAATATGTCAGTAGTTTGTAAATACAGAATCTTTGTGAAATGCTCACATTGACTGCACTGGAATTTCATTGAAATTCCAACCAAGTCATAAGATCTCATTAATCTAAGTAAGGATTACTTTGTTTTACGTAAAACCCAAAGATGATGAAATTTGACACAAGGTGGAGCTTCTGCAGTCCAGGTTCGTTAATTTCTACAGCTGTCGCTAGCGGCTGTAGAAATTAACCAAATTTTAGGAAAATTATCCAAATTTTAGGAAAATTACATTATATTGCAAAACTGAGGTTAAAATAGTGGATTTAAAAGGACACTCCAGACACGATTAAAATTGCATCGGAATGATGTTGCGAGGAAGACCCCAGGTGCTAGCTTACCTCAATGGCTCACTTTAAAAAATTGCCTTGCCTGATTGCTCTACGCAGCTAGGTATGCTGCAGTCCGAATTGAATCTAGAACTGGGAGGATGACTCAGCCAATCAGCAGCTCGCCATTCATAAAACAGTTTGAGAAACGTATGTATTTTCCTCACTCTGTTTTGTGAATAGAGGGATACCGACACAATCATCCTATCAGCCGGTCCCAGTCCTAGGCTTCCTGAATCAAGCCTCAGACTGCTTTAAAAAAAGCTGAGTACGGCAATTGGCCAATGGATTTAAAACTGGTGTTCCTTTATATCAGCCTAAATTTTAAAATTGAGATTAAATTTAGTAATATTTGGGGTGTAGTAAATAACCCTGCAAGAGAATAGTACTGAGCAACGCAGTGTCTCACATTACCATCTCTAAAACTTCATGGAAAATAGTATAAATAGGGTTATTATTAAAAACAAGCAATTTAACATCTCCCCAACTGTGGGCTGAATTATTATTGCCACCACAGGGCAGCATGGATCCAAAGGAACTCTTCAAGTTCCAGGAATAATTGTGAGTTATTATTATTACGCTTCCAGGTATGAATGAACGGAAAACATTTATTGCAAACAGAATCTTAAAAATGCATATCCAAATATGGCTGTTTTGTTTTTTTAGTCAGAAAACATAAGCTACTACTTAAACTATTACCTTTACCATAAGTAGTATATTGTTATATATATATATAAACTGGGAACATAACTGACTTTTAAAGTTATTCACTAAACTGTGAATTGTTGGGGGGAAAAAGGGGAAATTCACAATGAATTTCACGTTTTAGGCCAAAGTAGTCAAACCAGAGCATAGCTGGCTTGGAGAATTTTTCAGATTTAACTATTGTGGCCTAACATTCTGAAATTGATGTTTAAAGTAAATTTTCTGACAGGTCACAGCTTACTGAATAAAAACAACTACAAAAATGGCAAGCTCAGTGAATGACAGCGCATCCCCCACAAACAATCAACACCATGTCCGCGGGCTGCGTCCCTCAACACACACAGCTTTTTGCACTACAAGATAGTTTTTGAGAATTGACCAACCCTGACAGGTAAACTCTCCAATGGCAGACAAGACAACCTACACCAGGATAACATGATATGGAAAAATGTGGCTCCATCATTGAATCATAGAAACGTGTGACGGCAGATAAGAACCATTCAGCCCATCTAGTCTGCCCAATTTTCTAAATACTTTCATTAGTCCCTGGCCTTATCTTATAGTTAGGATAGCCTTATGCCTATCCCACGCATGCTTAAACTCCTTTACTGTGTTAACCTCTACCACTTCAGCTGGAAGGCTATTCCTTGCATCCACTACCCTCTCAGTAAGTCAGCCATTTTAGCACTTCCACATGAGCTTTTACTATCTTTGTTTCCCTAGATCAGGGATAGGCAACCTTTCAGTAGTAACTGTGCCAAAATAAGATTTTGAAGTCTCTCGGCGTGCCGATCCTCTGTCTTACAACTGACGTGTGTGATATGTTGCCGTATTTTGCTTGTTTTATTCATGGGTGCTTTGTAGCGTTGTACTTGTGCATGTGTGAGCTGTTATATATTAAAGTATTCTTACACGAGTAGTTTGTGGTATTGTATATGATCCCTGTAAAAGTGGGCTGTGTATGGGGGTTGCTTGTGTAATATGTTAGGGTACTGTATGTGACAGGCTGCTTGTTGGGGCTGTGTGCACGTATGTCGATTGTCAGTGTGTTGTGGGGATGTGTTTGTGTGTGGGGGCTGTTTGTATTATTTGTATGAGGGGGAGACTTATTCGGAAGCTCAGTGTATATCTAGCAGTGTGGGTGGTTTCCCTGCGATCCAGTGGGGTCCGGGCTGCAGTAGGTTCTGTGGGCTGCTCTAATCCCATTCACAAGTACTGGGATAAAGTGATCTGAGGTTACTTCCTATAAGTGCTGAAAAGCGTAAACTGAGGATTGCCCCTAACCACTCAGTTTGTACTAAGGAATCCTGATGGGCCAGTTCCAGTTTAGCTCTGGCAGCCTTGATTGCCGTTTAAAAACACCTAGAGTGCCGTGCATGGCACACGTGCTGTAGGTTGCTGACCCCTGCCCCAGATATTAGATATGCAGCCTCGGCAAATTCTCCACAGAATTCAGGGCTACCAGAGGGAGATGAAGCAGAATGTCTATTGTTTTTTAAATGGCCCTTGAAGTATTTACAGGCCGCACCTTATAGTTCACTGTTACATGGTTTGTTTACTCCAGGAATCTGTTTCCTGATTACAGGTGATAAGTTCTTCATTGGCCAAACACAAAAGTCCCTGCCTCGTACTTTCAATTCACAGAGCCACGGTAAATCACACGTATAGACCTTTTCAGTACTAGAGGACTATCCGCTCCAGACCTTTTCAGAACTAGAGGAATATCTGGTACAGACCTTTTCAGTACTAGAGGACTATCCGGTACAGACCCTTTCAGTACTAGAGGACTATCCGGTACGGACCCTTTCAGTACTAGAGGACTATCCGCTACACACTCTTTCAGTACTAGAGGACTATCCGCTACAGACTCTTTCAGTACTAGAGGACTATCCACTACAGACCCTTTCAGTACTGGAGGACTATCCGCTACAGACCCTTTCAGTACTAGAGGACTATCCGCTACTTACTCTTTCAGTACTAGAGGACTATCCGCTACAGACCCTTTCAGTACTAGAGGACTATCCGCTACAGACCCTTTCAGTACTAGAGGACTATCCACTACAGACCCTTTCAGTACTGGAGGACTATCTGCTACAGACCCTTTCAGTACTAGAGGACTATCCGCTACTTACTCTTTCAGTACTAGAGGACTATCCGCTACAGACCCTTTCAGTACTGGAGGACTATCCGCTACAGACCCTTTCAGTACTAGAGGACTATCCGCTACTTACTCTTTCAGTACTAGAGGACTATCCACTACAGACCCTTTCAGTACTAGAGGACTATCCGCTACAGACCCTTTCAGTACTAGAGGACTATCCGCTACATACTCTTTCAGTACTAGAGGACTATCCGCTACAGACTCTTTCAGTACTAGAGGACTATCCGCTACATACCCTTTCAGTACTAGAGGACTATCCGCTACAGACTCTTCCAGTACTAGAGGACTATCCGCTACAGACTCTTTCAGTACTAGAGGACTATCCGCTACATACCCTTTCAGTACTAGAGGACTATCCGCTACAGACTCTTTCAGTACTAGAGGACTATCCGCTACAGACTCTTTCAGTACTAGAGGACTATCCACTACAGACTCTTTCAGTACTAGAGGACTATCCGCTACAGACTCTTTCAGTACTAGAGGACTATCCGCTACATACTCTTTCAGTACTAGAGGACTATCCGGTACAGACCCTTTCAGTACTAGAGGATTATCCGCTACATACTCTTTCAGTACTAGAGGACTATCCTCTACAGACTCTTTCAGTACTAGAGGACTATCTGCTACAGACTCTCAGTACTAGAGGACTATCCGCTACATACTCTTTCAGTACTAGAGGACTATCCGCTACAGACTCTTTCAGTACTAGAGGACTATCCGCTACAGACTGTTTCAGTACTAGAGGACTATCGGCTACAAACCCTTTCAGTACTAGAGGACTTTCCTGTACAAAACCTTTCAGTATTAGAGGACTATCCAGTACAGACCCTTTTAGTACCAGAAAATTTGACCCATAGACACCCTTTCAGTACTAGAGGACTATCCGGTACAGACTCTTTCAGTACTAGAGGACTATCCGCTACATACTCTTTCAGTACTAGAGGACTATCCGCTACAACCCTTTCAGTACTAGAGGACTATCCGCTACAGACTCTTTCAGTACTAGAGGACTATCCGGTACAGACCCTTTCAGTACTAGAGGATTATCCGCTACATACTCTTTCAGTACTAGAGGACTATCCGCTACAGACTCTTTCAGTACTAGAGGACTATCTGCTACAGACTCTTTCAGTACTAGAGGACTATCCGCTACATACTCTTTCAGTACTAGAGGACTATCCGCTACAGACTCTTTCAGTACTAGAGGACTATCCGCTACATACTCTTTCAGTACTAGAGGACTATCCGCTACAGACTGTTTCAGTACTAGAGGACTATCGGCTACAAACCCTTTCAGTACTAGAGGACTTTCCTGTAAAAAACCTTTCAGTATTAGAGGACTATCCAGTACAGACCCTTTTAGTACCAGAAAATTTGACCCATAGACACCCTTTCAGTACTAGAGGACTATCCGGTACAGACTCTTTCAGTACTAGAGGACTATCCGCTACATACTCTTTCAGTACTAGAGGACTATCCGCTACAACCCTTTCAGTACTAGAGGACTATCCGCTACAGACTCTTTCAGTACTAGAGGACTATCCGCTACAGACTCTTTCAGTACTAGAGGACTATCCGCTACAAACCCTTTCAGTACTAGAGGACTTTCCTGTACAAAACCTTTCAGTATTAGAGGACTAACCGGTACAGACCCTTTTAGTACCAGAAAATTTGACCCATAAACACCCTTTCAGTACTAGAGGACTATCCGCTACAGAATCTTTCAGTACTAGAGGACTATCCGCTACATACTCTTTCAGTACTAGAGGACTATCCGCTACATACTCTTTAAGTACCAGAGTACTATCTGGAGCAAACCCTTTAAGTACCAGAGAATGTGACATATAGGCACTCTTTCAGTACCAGATGATGTATCACAGAGGACCATCCAGTATAAACCATTTCAGTACAAGAGGACAGTCCAATATAGACTCTTTCAGTACCAGAGGACTATCCGGTATGAACCCTTTCAGTACCCAAGAACAGTCCGATATAGATCCTTTCAGTACCAAAGCACTGTCTGTATAGACCCTTTAAGTACCAGAGGACCATCCGGTATAAACCCTTTCAGAACCCTTTCAGTACCAGAGGAGCATCCGTTATAAACCTTTCAGTACCAGAGGACAGTCCGATATAGACCCTTTCAGTACCAAAGAACTGTCCGGTACAAACCTTTCATTACCATCCAGCTATTAAGAAAGATCTCCTTTGGTGGTAAAGGAATGTCAGCAGACTCTGTATGTGCCAGATGGGTGTGCCGCATAACCTTTTTCAAACCCGTTTAGAGCCTGAGGATGTGCAGTCCATCAGAAATCACTAAAATAGTCAGAAAAGGGGAAATCTGCACTCCTTTATGAGTTCCAAAAAGCCCTGAAACAGGACTCACTCCAGAACTCGACATTGGCACTTTCTACCTCGAAGGAAGATTTTTTCTTCTCCAACAGAGAGCATTCAAGGAGTTAATGATTCTCCATCACACCTTGTGTTACAGGGATCTAAATTAAAACTGCAAACACTTCACCCCAGGCTCCCCATGACAATAAGCCTTTGCTCTGCTTGAATATTTACTCAGCCCTTTAAATAGCAGCTATTTAATTTTCCACTGCGGCCACTGTTCACTCTCAATGGCTCAATGTGTGAGGGTTTCCCTGAGAGACTATTATCACTGTCCCGGGTGAAGATTGAATAGAAAAAGATAAGGGCGACTTTGTTTTCCTGACCCCCTTCCAAGCCCCAGTCTTTGTGAGTTATTGTATGTAGCAGAGCTGTGTGTGCAAGCCCTGACACGCATGTTATTATGCTGGAACACAATATATCAGCCAAGACATGCATTGCACAGTTCTGTACGACTATAACACCTCCAGCCTTGCACACTCTGCTCACCTACAATCTCTGAGGTAGCTCGCTAGTCTCTGCAACAAGACACAACATCTGTTTCAGGTCCTTACACAATCTGTGCCCCACAGCACCCCAGAGGATGCAGTCAGCTGATATTGTCACTTAACTGAGAATTTTGTAACATTTGGAGATTAGCCATTTGAGGAATCATATTCCCCCATATAATTTAATTGTGTTTGGCCAAGATCTGACACTCCTCAAAAAAAGATCATTTTCTGTGCGTCTTCACAGTTCCAGTAGTTCATGTATTTTTTTTTTTTTGAATGTTAAATGATAAATGTTAAACCATGAATGAAGGAGTAAAGAAAACTGTGGAATGGAGGAAAAGTGAGTGTATCTTTATATTTTGCATTGAATACATTATGTATCTTTGTGATATGTGGTGTATTCAATATGTATGGGAGCCATTTCAGGTAAATAGTATTTTTTCATAACAGGTTCACTTTAAATCTGCATTTATAAGGCTTACTGTTGACATTAAGTGCGGAAGGTGGTATAATTATACAATACTTTATAATTAAAAGAGAATTCTTAACCATTGTTTAACTTCCACCTTGAAAATCAAATGTTGCTCTTGCTGATGTTTGCCAATGTACTAGTGAAATATTAAATTACAGGAAAATACTACCCACAAAATTATACTATTTGGACATATTACTGTGTGAACTTAATGATGGTAGTTATTTTAGCAGAAAATAGCTGGTGAGTGGTTCATTTGCACAAAGTAAAGCTGCAAATAAAAACCTGGATAATAAATGTATCACTAAACACGTTCTCGTGCATTGACATTTATAACTATAAAAGACAACTTGAACCTTGTTGTAAGTATACATTGCTCTCCCTATGGTGTCATCATACAGCTCACATAGACTGTGCTTCCTCTCCTATGAACACAGACACAGATCTGACCCTATGGAACCATCACTGCATATTCTTGATCTGATTGGTTGCGGGCAGTCCATGCCTTGGGTCCATCTTTTACTCCACTTTGTTGCAGAAAACATTGAAGTCTTTCTCTTAGCTATACTACCCAAACACATTGCTTGGTTTCCAAAGGGATTGAGACTACAAATCTCCCTGAGTTCCTCCCATCTAAATTATGTTTGGCTCAAGCATGTTAACCAACTATGGTCAAAATTCTAAGTACAATCAAATCCAACATGTTTTACAAACAGAGGTCCTTTTGTCTACTAGACAAATCTGAGAACGTCCACCGTGTCTGGGTGAACGGACCCTACATCACCCTCAAGGAATGGCCGCTGCCTGATCTCACCTTCTCTGTTATTCCCTCCTTTTCCTACACTCTTCCGTTTCCTCTTATCCTTTCATCATTATTAACTCATATTTGGACTTTTTGACTGGAAACGTATTTACAGGGTGCACCGAGCTATTCAGGTCAAGTTTACTTATAGCTGGTTTTACTGTTAACCATGGTATCAACCCATTTCAATGCGTCAATGCTTTCCTATGGTAAAGGTCTTATAAACGTGCGATGCTCGACGAACGTGCATTAGGTTTCCCCATCGAAGTGACGTCGCAGCAGGAGGTAGAGACAGATCCAGCACACAGGGACTTTGGCGCTGAAAACAGGTGAAGGAAAGAAAGGGTTTTTAACCCTTTTATGACGGGGGGGAGGGGGCTTCCAGAGGCAGGGGGGGCTTCCATTAGGGATTGTGAGCGTTTTAGTTCTATAATAGAGTGCTGTCCCTTGGCCAATCCAATTCACTTTAAAAATCTAAATTTAGAAATGCACCACTAACCGTACTATAACGTTGTAAAATTGCAAAGAGAACTTTGATCAAGGTTTAGAGGGGCATAGGGTTAAAGACTCCTACCAACCTAGCTAAGAATCATAGTCATTAGAGTCCATAGCACCTTGTAGGCAGGTATCTCTATAACCTTAACCATAACAGCCCCCAATGCTAAATCCCACCTAAACCAAACGGTCGCCGTTTTTATCAGCACTTAATGTAATCTTATTTAATGGCGACTTTTAAAAAGCTTTTCCTTTTCTTCACAGCCACATACAAAACTATCAAATGGAAAAAACAGGTCACAAAACATTTCAAAAGATGAAAGTTTCAAATATAAAACACATACGAGAGCTGAAATCTAGGACGGCTGCGGAAAAGGCAATTATTTATCATTATATTATTTTGTCAGGACAATATGAGACTCCACGCTGCGTTCTGAATAGAGAGAGAGAGATTGGTAACTAATACACACTAGCAGCGCTAACTTTATGTCAAAGGCCTGATTTATAAATAGCCGGTATGTTTGCTAGAGGAGCACAAAGCACACTTGTTTAGCAAACTGCAGCTTACGACTGTTTGATTTTCCATTATATAAAGCTTCAGTCAGCCGATGCTTCATTGGAGAGGTTTATGCCCAATAGCCGACCTAGTGGACAGGGAACATCGATTTCCCTTAAGTGTAGGCGACTGACTGTAAACATGTTACTCAGAGGTATTGGTGGGAGAAAACCGAATAAGGATCCTACAGTCAAAAGAAAAGTTTAAAGAATGGATAGAGGGGTGGATGGACGCTCGTCCATTTCTCGGGGTCAAGGCAGCTCTTTGTTTATTGGCGCCATTCAGTTTAAATACAGATTTTATCAATTTCATTTCTTTTGTCAACAGCAGTGATGGCTAATCTTGGCACAGTAGATGTTTGTGCAAGGCTGGCTTGATGTTATGGGAAATTTATTTCATAGACACCTGCCAAAATTACTGCCAAGATTAACAGCCACTGACAGGCAGCGATAGCGTTTTTATCCATTATCAGTTTTACAGGGTATCCACTAAAGTGGGAATTCCAAAGTCAATTTCACATTTGAGGGCAAAATAGAAAACGGAAAATTAAAAATAATTTCTCAATTTAGTGAATAGCCCTGTTAGCCTCAGAAAGGGGACAAATTAAAATAGCTTTTCTTTCTTTTACTCAGTATATTAATAGCTTGTAATACTTGCACATTTTTGTACCATTGAGATATTGGTGTTTAGAACAGCATTTCTCCTTTTTATTATAAGAAAAGTTGAATAATTTGTTGCAGTTCTAGCACCCGAAGTGTTATCTAAAGGAACCAACCTTCAACTAACAATTCATTTATGTCTGAACCTTCTGTCATATTTTACAATCTAATTTTTAGTGTCAGGTTTTATTTTACAAGCTTGATAAGTCAATAGACCTAGACTTTTACATATCTGTTCTTTTAACACTTTCATGAAAATAGGTTTTGCTCACACAATGATGGTTTCATAATGTGGACAATCAATCAATGAGACAAATTGGCAACACTTTCTGGGGGGCCACTCAAAGGCCCGCAAATTGTGTTCATGAAAAATAGTCAGGATGGTATCCCTAAAGATATAAAAATATATTTTCCATTTTACAGAAATGGAAGCCGTTTTGTAGCTGTCTCTCCAGTCAAAGCAGTGCTGTCACCTGTGGGGGTCTCTGCGATTTTTTGCAAGGATTTGCCGCAATGCAGTAAACGGAGCAAACATGTCTCCCTCCTTGCACCGCCATATTTCAGCCTTTTTCAGATCAAGCTGCCAGGTTCATGAGCACCCCAAAATCGCGAATGGGTCTGACGCATTGGATTGATGAGAAGATGAGAAGGCCTGTGGGACAATGTCACAGGAGGATGGAGTGGGCACCGGCATGGAGCTTTGGCGCTTTAATAAGGGTTAGTAAAAACCTTTTTTTCCCCTATTTTAAATTGTATCTAAATCGGGAGTAGAACACTATAGTGTTGGGCATAGATGTTTGTATTTCCTACGCTATAGTGTTCCTTTCATTAACCAATGGCTTAGGAAGTAAAGAAGTTACACTTTTGGCTTTTTCAATTTGGCATTGATTTAAGGAGCCTAGCTGACATAATCATAATCACTCCATTCCATTTGTCATTAGCATCAATCAATCTTCCCACATCTTATTCGAGATTTTGTGATGGACGACAACAACAACAAAAAAAGTCTTTTTTTAAATGAGTAACTTTGTATAACTCCTGTGGTACTACCAGCAGAAAACGGTTAACAGTTTTGATCGTGAATGTTGAAAACCAACTGGCACTACCGGCAGAAGTTCAGAAACCGTTATCACTTAGTACGGGATTATGATTGAGGTCTATGTCATGTTTTATCGCCACTGCAGGCCAGAATTTGTTCGACGTGTTAAAATGCCTCAATGGCATATATTCAAGTGTTTTGAAAAGCTCAATGTTCAACACATTCTGAAACCACAAGGTGGAAATTCCATTTACATAGACCCAATAACAAGTATTTACTTCTCTATTACTTTTCCACTAACATTTCACACATCTGAGACTCAGTGGACAGAGGACAGCATTAAATATCGCACAGTGTATGTTGGTGCTAAAATGAATACGTGTCAAGGGCTCCCAAGTAATTTAAACCAATTTTATTTAATTTACGATTATTTATAGTATTAGGTAAACTGACAGTAATGACTGGGGCTGCTTCAGGTGAGTTATACACTTGGACATGTATACACAAGGCTAGTGAAACTGACAGCACATGCATAGATTAAAGGAACACTCCTGGCACCATAACAACACCATTGAAATTAAGTTGTTAAGATGTATGCAGGTCCATGGGCAAAAGCTTACCTCAAGGGGAGAAACCATTAACAAATAGTTTATGTTAAGACACCCCGGAGACCTAGGAGTGAAACCACCGTTTAGTTGAGCTTTCCCCTTCACAATCTTGCCATCTCAGTTCGTATATAATTCAGCGTACGAACCACAACCAGGGGAAAGCGGTAATCTCCCGAACGGGATCCATAAGAGTGCTCCAAACTCCCGAACAATAATCCACGAATCGTCGCTAACCGCCAAACAAGTATATCCTCCAAGCGGCTTACGTTTCCAGCAATCAGTCGCTAACTGTGTGTAGTAAATCCCCCCAATAACGAGACCAGGCTCCGCATTGAGGGTAAAACAAGAACTGGGTTTACTGTGGGCTACCCGTCCGTATTTATGCAGGTCTCCCACTTGGTGGACACTCCCCTAGGGGACCAAAAGGGAGACAGACATATGGCTTTTTCAGACACACAGGCACAAAAGATTCCTACCATACATCATGGTTTCCTCCCCTCTGCCCTGGAGATAATTGAGAAGTAATTCAATTATCTCTAGGACAAAAACAAATTGCCATTTTAAGTAAAACACCAGAAAACACTTGAAAATAAATAATTGCACAACTACCGAACATATTACATTCGTGTAACGTATCCCCAGATAGCTGGATCTGAGGGCATATTCTTAGCGAATAGCACTCAGATCCCATACGCATAGTTCAATCGCCATGGAATCAAAGTCTTTACAGTCTTTCAGTATGCGATTGACTCCATGGGAAGGCTATCTGGGTTAAGTCTCTTCGTGTAATCCAAAACTCCCGAACGGCCGGTGTTCACATGCTTTTGTCAACTGAGAAGGGCGGTCTGTAGTTTCAGCGGTGTTCGGCAGAAAAGGTGTCAGTTTTTAGTTCCATAGAATCAATGCCGAACACCGCTGGTCTTTCGCGTGGTTTAAAATGGCCGCCGCCTCGTGGTCGACATACGAACGACGACCACCCTGTATTCAGTTATAATTAAGAGGTGTCTGCGGTTAACCACAACGTTTTAATTGGGATCAAGAGGTTAACCAGCAGCACACTTCTCTTCTGGGTGGCCGTCCGTTCGGTGGATTTATTCGGCAAAAAGTCAATCATACGCATGGGGTTATAGGAACAGGCAATTTCCACAAAAGGAAGGCAAACTAGACGAACCGACAAATAATAGTCATTCAGATGGGTCTGTCACAGTTTAACCCCAAAGTTTTGAATCTGCGGCCCGATCACGCTGCCCAGTTATTCTCGACACAGTCTATGTCTGGAATCAGGAAACATCTGGCTGGGAGTCACTGATGGCTGAGAGCGTTAGTAGCCCCCCATTGATAAAATGCCTTGAGTAATGTACTTATTTTTCGTAAGCCGTCAGTCGATGCTCTCAATCTATTAGCTACCCCCAGTCGGAAATAGCTTAGCAGAGGAATCAGGCTCTAAATGCAACGCTTCTGGGTTAAAACACTAATTTTAAAGGTTTACTCCCGGCACCCAGCTGAGGACCTCCTTGTACTATAACAACTTCAGTCCTATGATGTTGTTATTTTGCCCGGAATGTCCCTTTTGGTATACCTATCTAAACTCTGAATCTACGTTTCATGCATTTGCTGTCCATGTTAGAATATAGAAGTTTCTGGCAGATAGGGACAAGTTGGCCCATCTGCCAGTTCTGAAATCTCATACGAATTTCGTGTATCTTCTATCTTCATGATATCTAACACGTATTCCAGGCATTCTTTACTGCATTAGGTTTCAATACCTTCGCTGGAAGCCTGAAGGCACATGTAGTTAAGGGCTGGAATGTCCTTATTTTCATCTCAGCACATTAAGGTATTTCCTGAGTTAACATTGTTTATTTGGGAAACATGTCCAAACCCATACGAAGGTATGGGACAAAAGCAACTAGGCGCCACTGCAAATTTAAACAAAAAAAACAACTAAATTTTCTTTATATTACGAATATACCTATACATTGACATGGTATTTTAACAAGTATGTTTTTCTTTCCTTCCTCAGCTTCACTCTTTCATTGCCAACTATCCGTCAACGTATTGCTCTTCCTTAACCAAATGTCGATAGAAAGGTTAAGTATATTTATCTAAGCTATGTTTGCCTGCACCTTAAAACACGGTCTCCCTTAGCGGAATGGGGCATCCGCTTGCAGGGAATCTCGAAATCCGCATGGTCATGGGAATCGGCACACTGTCTGCATTGACGGGCGCTTGCTCGTAACAATTCCACACACGTTTGGGCAAATACTAGAAAGGTCAGCATGGATAACAAAATTCACTTGTAGAACATCCGTTGCTCAAATATGACATAGTAATTTAAATGAACTGTCAAGAAGCGTGAAGACTAGTCTGTGACTGCGTGTTTTTGTCCATAATTCCTGCTGCTTGTTTTAACCCTTTAATAACTGGATATGGGGAGGTAGAGTAGAGGAACATAGAGTCCGGTCACTGTTGATCTTATTGGGTAAGATCTGTTTGTTCAGCATCCAGATATTTGATGTGATTTGCTATTCTAGACAGCAAGAGTTGGCAAAGGATGTCTGAAGCAATGGTTTGGCTGAGAGGGTACATTGGAAAAGTGATCTGCACCACTGCTCACAGATCTACTGCTGTTAGATCACCACTATACCTCGGCAAAGAGGGAACATTGGAAAAGTGATCTGCACCACAGCTCACAGATCTACTGCTGTTAGATCACCACTATACCTCGGCAAAGAGGGAACATTGGAAAAGTGATCTGCACCACTGCTCACAGATCTACTGCTGTTACATCACCACTATACCTCGGCAAAGAGGGAACATTGGAAAAGTGATCTGCACCACTGCTCACAGATCTACTGCTGTTACATCACCACTATACCTCGGCAAAGAGGAAACATTGGAAAAGTGATCCGCACCACAGCTCACAGATCTACTGCTGTTAGATCACCACTATACCTCGGCAAAGAGGGAACATTGGAAAAGTGATCTGCACCACTGCTCACAGATCTACTGCTGTTACATCACCACTATACCTCGGCAAAGAGGGAACATTGGAAAAGTGATCTGCACCACTGCTCACAGATCTACTGCTGTTAGATCACCACTATACCTCGGCAAAGAGGGAACGTTGGAAAAGTGATCTGCACCACTGCTCACAGATCTACTGCTGCTATGCCGTATCACCTCTGTCACTCACTCAGCTCAGTTTGCAAGAGGCCGGAACAGTTTTAAAAGCAGCAAGGCAAACTTGGCAACATGATCTGAACCCAATGGACAAGTCTTGATTTGGGGCCTCCATCTTGCTGAAAGTGCAGTACAGATGTGTATTTGAATGCACTTGCGGCTGCACTAGGTGAGCTCAAAAGGCTTTTGCACTAGCTAGTGCAAAAGCCTTTTGAGCTCACCTAGAGCAGCCGCAAGTGCAGCACAGAGTTCTGTTGGGTGACCTTCACGGACAGCACAGCACCTGAGATGGCACGGCATGACCTGTTTAACAGCCCATCATGCTACTGGTCATGCAGACTGAAAAAAAATGAGTGGTAGTTTCATCAACAGTTAAAGTGGCCCTATCTGTAACATGTTTGTTTCATAAATCAGTTCAAAAAATTCCAAATAATTCATATTATTTTCATCTACCCAAACCGCCGTAAGTTTAACTGTAATTATCACTTAAACATCTGGCAGTTTTGCAGTGCAAAGGTGGCCATCTTCAAATTACATCACAATTTCCAGACCGGCAGCCACCGTTAACTGATTAGGGAGAAAAAAAGTTGCAGAGGTCAAGTAATGTTAGCAGCCAAAATGTTTGATTTCCTCTGTAGTTTTACATGTTACAACGTGCAGGAAACAGGAAGGATTCTTTAAACTTGTGGAGTCGTGTGTGCAAAAAGCAAGTCATCGATTTTATATGGATCAATGGAAGGAACAGGCAGGCTTTAAACTGGTATCTGATAGCGAAAAGATGATGACAGAGTTTATCTACATTATGGAAAGAATGTATTAAATGTCACAATGCTGACTTGTTATCTTTGAATTAAAGGACCACTAAAGTCACCCAGACCACTGCTTCTCAATGAAGTGTTTCGGGTGCAGTGGTCTGTTGGGGGCACCTTCAGGGCACTATAGTGCCAGGAAAACGAGTATGTTTTCCTGGCACTATAGTGGTCCTTTAACTAGATATTTTTGTGCATTCCAACAATACAAAAACATTCAGATATAAACAATTTTACATTGTTTTTTATACACGGTTATTCCAGTTCATGTTACCTTGAACTTTTCATTCAATAATTGTCAAACGTAATCATGAAAAACAAAAAGGGACACTGGTGTTGTTAATGTTTTTGTTGTTTACATAATCGGTAGGCCGAAGGGGAACTGTCACTATTCTGGAAATTACATCACTGAATAAAATAATGACAATACCTATACATTGTCTTAAGCGTATTATATCATGCTCCATTTTCTTTTATATTAATATTAAAGATTGAACAAATTGCTTTACAACCAAGTTCAGGCTAGGCATATCCAGGGCACACAATGCAAATGAGGAGAAATAGAAACAGTGTTTCATTCCTCTTTTCTGTATGTTTTCTCTACACGGACTGCCAGGTGCAAAGGACAGAGCTTATAATAACGGTTGACCAGGAGCCAACATGGAGGCATCCAGTTGTAGGATAATTATGGGTGGATTCCGTAAATACATTTTTTAACTGCTCCTGTATTTGTTTGTCAAATTTTGTACTGTCCCAGATGCATTGTGCCTTTGTCTATTTACATGTATCTATTATACGTGTTGGCACTTTATAAATATAGTACAACAGTCATAATAAATCGTAATAGTTGTTGATTATAGGGAACAAGTAAACATAACGTAAAAAATCCTAGGAAGCGGCAGTCCACCGTAAAATAAATAAATAAATAAATTTAAAAAAAGATTAATTATCAAAGAAAATAGAACTATAAGGATAGAACAGTTAAAATAACTTTCTGTTCCCTAATTTAAACCCTACTAAATCAATGAGATCATCCAGTGCATTATTTCTAGTATCCAGTCAAACTCCATGATCACATGTACCATTCCCAGCAGAGTTGAATCAGACTTTCATGATGTGTAAAATCAAGTTGGGTAATAATAAAAACATTAACCGCAGGATATACCCAAAATATAGTAAAAGCAAATTAAGCCCTACCTGGCTTCATAACTTGATTTCATTATAAAAGTGAATTTAACTTTATTTTCCACTTTGTATTTTTCTTATGTGTTTGAGAGACATATATCAATGCATTGGTCTGCCCCTCTGCAACAAATAAATAGCTGAGCAGTTCTGTATTTTGCCATCACACACGGAGGGCGGAGGACGTATGATAATAATAGTAAAACATGTAATAAGTAGTACGAAGCGTATTTCTGTTTTGATGCTGCATTGGGTGCTGAGAGGGAAGTGGTTAGTAACCCCAAGGGGAAACGTTCGTTTGAAACAGGAAAATGGAACTCACTATTTTCCATTGAAGCAGCATAGTGTTACAATGATAAGACAGAGCCCCGGCTGCGAGAACACTGACAGAAAGAATAACACAGAGACACCAGGGCTCCCATTTCTTAGGAGGCAATCCCAAGCCATTGTTCTTCTTTCATTTTGGATACCAGCACCACAATCTGCAAATGGACTTGAAAATAAAAGTCTGTAAAGAATTAATTCTCACAGCCTCAACGTATTAGTGTCTTTGTTCCTTTTAGACGTGTTTGAAAAGTCAGCAGAAGAAAAGTTACATTTAACTTTTTGCTTGTTTCCCCGTCTGGGTGTTATTATTGCGCAGCTTAACAGCATTTTTTATTGACCTTAGCAGGAGGGAACGGTGGTCTAATGCTGCACCTATACCACATGTGACTGGATTGCTATACCACAAAGCTATCACATCAGTTATATCCATGCTAGCATATCAAATTATGTATGAACTTTACTGATTTAAAGTCCCACCTAGACCCCACTTCTCGTTTAAAGCTGGGGCATAAGTCCAGCTTTAAGTACAAAAAAACACAGGTTCCTGCTACCTGTACCGCAGCAATGATATATGCATTTTCTCTTTTTTATCTGACACACTGCAAAATGTACCAAATTGCTATGTAATCAATAAAATCAATAAAAAATTAAACTATACATAAAAAAAAAACAGGTTCAAATCCGCTCTGACTAGTAGTCCATGACAGCTGACCAAATTATATTTCTGTTACCTACCCAATAATGACATGACACTTGAGTATTGGATAAGGGCAACGGCCACAGCTTTATTTTGGTATTAACTTATAACACCGCCAGCATTATCACCACCTGTCGGCTGTTGGGGTGACCACCCAACAGACAGATAATCCATATATTTCTGTACAGCCTGCCTTCTGCCATCAGCCCTAGCAGTCTGTGACTCCCCAAAGTCTTGTCCCGTGAATTACTTGTGCTGGCCAGGAACTCCGCCACCGCAATGTTGACCCTGGGTCCCTTTCAACGGCATCACGTGCCCTGCAAATTGTGAGTACCCTCAATTCTGCTCCCCTTCTTATACCATTCCAGCTTAACTACAAATGTATCCATCTATATCCCACCACTTATTGTGCGTCAGCAGTCATGCTTCCCCTTCCTTGCAGTCCAGGGGATTCCTTCATCTAATATGGACTTCTTTATATTCTTTATATTCTCTCGACAAATATAGCTAGTGTGTTTGTTTGCGATCGTAGCCCTAAGGAAACATTAAGCAGAAATGTTCTTTATGTATAGGGACATATAGGTGATCAGTTTGCTTTGTACTGGGTCCGTGTTTTAGACAGAAATATCAGCTATCCATTTGATGTGGTCACAAATATACAGACATATACAGCTGAGAATTATTCTCTTAAAAATCTACAATTTAAATAGGAGATGATTCCTTGTGAAATACTGAGCCTGAGTGCATTGGAATTTCATTAAAATTCCAACACTATTCAAAGAGACAATAAAACAAAGTAGGGACCCAGTGGCTACCAAACCCACATCGGACATTTCACTTTCAGGAAACTTCACAAAATGTACAAAGAGCCCCGAAAGTGGCAGACCCACTTAAAGGGACACTCCAGGCACCCAGACCACTTCTGCCCATTGGAGTGGTCTGGGTGCCAACTCCCACTACCTTTAACCCTGCAACTGTAATTATTGCAGGTTTTATAAGCTGCAATAATTACCTTGCAGGGTTACGTCTTCCTCTAGTGGCTGTCTCTCAGACAACCACTAGAGGGACTTCCGTGTTCTTAGAACACGGAAAGTGTTTTTAAACGACGCTGGATGTCCTCACGCTATACATGAGGACCTCCAGCGTCGCCTTAATCCCCATAGGAAAGCTTTGAATAATGCTTTCCTATGGGAAGGTCTAATGGGTGCATGGGTGGAGTCTGACCCAGTGCCGAGGGACATCAGTGCTGGATTCAGGAAAATCACCGAAGGGATTTTACACTTATTTTACTTAAATCACATTTATTTTAAAATCACAGAAAATTGGTCCAACCCTGTATTAAAGTTCAAAAATCAAGGACTTTTTTTAAAATTTACCTTGTTGTTTGTGCATGATTGCTTGCATATGTCAAAATCTTCCGTACATGAGTTTAAAAAAAATGTAGCCACAATGACTACTTACATCAGCAAACATCTGGTTTTCTAAAAATAAAAGTGTGATCATGTGGCCAAATTCTGTCTGCAACCACATCTGCCGTAACTACCTTCCCATCCACAAGGAAAGAGTCAGTTCTCCAGGTTACAATCGAGACCACGAAATGTTCCAACCTCACAGTGACTTCCCTGAGAACAGAGATGCCGCATTCCCTCCCCCCCACTCACTTATCAATTTAAAAAAAAGGGGGAACATGAGTAATGAGTCTTAATCTGGAACGGGATATTTCAATCCATGTCTCACAGCAATACTGAAAAAGAAATATATATATATACACACACGTCATCAAATATTGCTGCAAAGCTATGGCTGAACATGGCCATCTCATTCCAGCTGACCAAAAAATCTTGCGACATGGTTAATCTGTCCGAGCATAGACATCACGCGAGATTCTGCAATTATATACAACGTTTCGGCATCAAGTCTTAATCATGTACACATACATATACATATAATTTTGTTTTTCTGATCCTGAATTAAACTCCTTCCTATTTGCACTACTCTATGAAGCCTTTGGAATTTGAGTTTGAATACCCACATAACACATTCAACCAAGTATAAGGGTATCAATAAAGTTACCGCTAATGTAGGTATAAAATTTGGCAACTCTGGTTTGGACAGTACCACTAGATCTCCAACGTAGAAGGAAACTTATACAGCTTATTACAAGGGGATAAATAGCATAATTTAGGAGAATGCCACAACGGAAACCCACCTAAAATAGCCATGGTAGAAACCAACAAACATGTTTCAGCTGTTCGATGACTTATACCAGATACAGTAGAATATAATGTAACTGAATTATGGAAGTTATTCCAGCAGGTGAAACGTAAAAAAGTATTTTGCAAAGAAAACAGCCTCTTACACCAACTGTACTTATAGAAATAATTAATGTAGCCGAATCCAGTATGCATACAACGTGTACCCCTATTTACTAAAAGGTTAACAGTGAGTGAACTGTGGCATGGTCAAACGAGGCCACGTATAATGAAGTATAGAAATTGTAGCATGGCGCACACTGACAGAATTCTAATACCCAAATTCAAGCATACTTTAGCAAGGCCGAATGTTGGCCCAAAATAACATGATAACCTAACTTGGCTGATTAACTTAATTGTCTATAGATAATGTAGCATGGGTGAACTAAGGCTAAAATAGATGTGCTGTATGCAGAAAACGTGCAATGCGGCTGAACGGAGCTGTATGTTAATCTAGTAGATGTTATGCAGCGTGACCAAATAAGGGTTCAATGTAATATGCTGTATTTGTAACTGTGTAGCGTGACCAAATTTTTACTTATTGGGTGGAATGTAGCTTGGTTAAATGAGGTCTTAAAGGACCACTCTAGGCACCCAGACCACTTCAGCTTAATGAAGTGGTCTGGGTGCCTGGTCCAGCCAGGGTTAACCCATTTTTTTATAAACATAGTTTCAGAGAAACTGCTATGTTTATAAATAGGTTAATCCAGCCTCTAAAGCCTCTAGTGGCTGTCTCATTGACAGCCGCTAGAGGCGTTTGCGTGCTTCTCACTGTGAAAATCACAGTGAGAAGACGCCAGCGTCCATAGGAAAGCATTATGAGACAGGCTTTCCTATGAGACTGGCTGAATGCGCGCACAGCTCCTGCCGCGCATGCGCATTCAGCCGAAGAGGAGGATCGGAGGCGGAGAGTGGGAGGAGAGCTCCCCGCCCGGTGCTGGAAAAAAGGTAAGTTTAACCCCTTCCCTCGCCATCCATCCATCCACTATAGTGCCAGGAAAATGAGTATGTTTTCCTGGCACTATAGTGGTCCTTTAACCATAAAAGTAGCAAACAAAAATTATCGAACAAGGGGAGCGCAGATCACTGGTCTTGCCTTATTATGATTGTCACAAAATCCACTATTTTGCCTGTATAGGAGATGTCCTCCTCCTCAGTCACAAACAAGTTGCTGAACTTCATCCATGTTTTTCCCTGCATTTGGTATATAAATCTACCAAACACCGACCACCCCCCTGGCTCATTAACTACAAAGACCACAGGATTAAGTGATCTCTATGTGTGGCCTCTGTATAACCAAACGCCACGTGTTGGAGAAAACAGTGCCCATCTTGTTGCATGAATGCAGGCAGCGGGACTTGGTCGTTGAGTGTCTGGAACTCCAAGTCGTACACTCGACCGAGCGAACATCGGTGAAACCATGTGAACGCCTGCTTCTTTCCACGACAAGCCAGGAGAGCACTGTTTGGTAGGTTTGTTCATATGGACAAGATGAACAAACGCTACCTATGAGCCAGGGGAACCATTCAACAGTTTATTCGTATGGAACCCCCGAAATTGACCGACCGCTACCACTAAAACTTTGGAACTGTTTTGGACAGACGCCTCCTGAGCGGTCGGTCAAAACTTTACCCCGGTGGCAATGCGGCTGTATTCGTGGGATCTGAGTGCTATTTGGACAACTTGGGCGCTCAGATCCAAGCTATCCGGGGATATAACTTTTGTGGGGGTTCCTATATGATTATTATGTATGTTTTTCATATTTTATGTAATCTATGCTGACACTGTAAATTGTAGTCATTTTGTGGGAGTGTTTTGAGCGTGTTTTACTGCCTCCTGATTTTGTATATAAGTGGGCCAGTTGGCCAGATTAAACAGATTAGTTTTACCCTTCATCAAGTCTAGGCTGATGTTTGGGGAACTTGGGCTATAATCACTACTGCGCTTGGGACTCGGGAGATTCATAACGGATATACTAAGCCGGAATATAGCGGATCCGTTACAATGATAATGGACCCTCAGCTGTCACCTAATCTACAGCGCTACGGAACTTGTTGTCACTTTATAAATAAGAATAATAATTATTGAATAGGCTGAAATCAGTACTGGACAGCAGGATCCAGGACAGTTTGTAGGTATCGATAGGAGCAATACTGCGCATTATCAAAACAGCAGTATAAGCTCATCCCATTGTCTATGTGGGTCAGGGGAATTGGCAGTTTTAAAATATAATGCTTTGTGTCCTTTTTATGAAATTATGAAATTACAAAATAACAACAAACATGAGATTTGTGGTTCCATGATGACATCAATTTAGTTAAATGTACCATTCAGTGCAATGTGGATTAATATAAAAGGGGTTTTATAAAAGCTGTCTTTTAACCCTTGGGTGGGTTTAATGGCTGTGTACATCTTCGATATTTAAGGAACACTCTCAAATGTATTTTTTTTTTTTTATAACTATTTATAAATATACCTCAAATGAAAACTTGCATGCATTTAATCACGCATCCATTGGGGGGGTATATAAAAAAAACACTTGGAAATCTGCAGATTTCTTGGTTGCAGCCTTTGCAAGCCCTCACCTTCTGAGCCCCTTCTAAAAAGAGGACACACTCCACACACATAAAGCTTTTCAGCAAGCTAAAGTCCAAAGTGTCCCTTTAATAATTTGTTAACAAAACACAATGTATAGTAACATTGTATATAAAAACACAACACTGACAATCTTACCATCTTCCTGGCTACTAATAGTAAATAATAATCGTATGATTGTTAAAACAACAATAATGGATTTATTTACCAAACAGTGCTGTGAGGTGCTGTGTGGTGCTGTGGAACCATGTAAGACACACTATCCAAATGTTTAAGGAACATTATAATAACCATTATATAACATAATAATGTAATAATTATAACAACCTAACCACTTTATCTCATAGAAGTCGTTTTGGTGTTTACTGTGTCCTGACGCTTAATGCTAAACTGTTTTTGACCTGCTGAATACTCCTCACTGCAGGTTTGGCGAAATTGGAGTTAACTCCACCTTAGCCATACCAACACATACAATAGGCTGCAGCTGCAGGTCAGTCAGCGCCACCCTCTGCTGCTCGCAAAAATCAGAGGGAGGCCAGGCTGCGGCTGCTTATGTAACCTCATTCAGCGTTAAACCATTCAAAGAATGTTTACTTGAGCTGGTGCCAGGGTCTCCAAGCACCATAACAACTTCAATGAGAAGACGTTGTTAGGATGCCTACATTTTCCCTTTAATAAATAAAATATATATATTTTTAAAACTCTAAAGTTTGTTCAAGTGGGAGAATTGAATCCCACTAAACCTCGGCACTTGTTTCACCCTTTCTACATACCAGGCAATGTTTTTTACACGCAGAATAAGAAATTCCACGTAAATCAGGATCTCTCAACCAAATATTGCTAAAAAGCATATCACCATCTGTTTCAGAGTTACAACTCTCACAATGCTTTGTCAGCCTTATAGATCATAGGAGTCGTAGTTCAGCTAAAATGCCTCGTATTTACCTTTTTTGGCCACCACTACCCTAACTCGATCGGTTTACTGTTTATCCCCAAAGGGACATTACAAACACTATAATCACTACAGCGCACTGAAGAGGCTATGGTGCCAGGGGTACACTGGCTCCCCCCAATTGCGAATAGTCACACTGTTTTATAATGTTTTGACTTCTTACCAGTGTCCACCTGGCGCTGCTCCCCACCTCCACTACAGCCTTCAGAGAGCCAGAAGCTCTCTGTGTAAACTAAGTCCAGCGCTACAGGACTTACAGGATCAGCTGATGCTCTTAGCCAACAAGCTAGTCGTTTGTTGCAGGGCTTAGCTCAAGTCGCCTAATAAACCTCCCAAGCAGCATCTTCCAGCTCTCCTAGCAATGGAGAGGAGGCGGGTAGCGTTGCCCAGCACATCCCACGGAAGAAATCAAATTACTTACATGTGCTGTATGGTGCTTAGAGTGTTGCTTTAAGGTGGAACGTCCCCTGTCATGAGAATGAAAGCTTTTTAAGCTTTTTTTTTTGTAAATAGATAAAACATGCAAAATACTTTTATTGTAAACATTGCGTCCTGTGCCTGCGTAGCAAGATGACTCGGAGCACATCCTTTTTAATAAATAGGTCTTGGGCGAGATTTATTGCATGAGTAGTTGTATGTAATAATATATGCAAGCAATCCGTGTGTAATGATGCAACTCTGTGACCATCTTATTACTGTATAGATTAAATAATGCCTTATGGATCTGGAAAAACTGGTTGAACAAAATATTTGGCATGCACCCTGCAGATCAGGAACATTCGGGGACTTCCAGGAAGAAATTCGAGAGGTTTAGCTATTTTTAGTGAAGCAAACTAAGCATGCAGTGATATTATACAGAGAGAGTAATCACCACAATCTAAGGCCCTATTCTATACCGATACTTATGGTATGGTTTATCTACAACGCATTCTGCTAAATTAAAGGACCACTATAGTGCCAGGAAAACATACTCATTTTCCTGGCACTATAGGGTCTCTAGGTCCCCCCCCCCACCCTCTGGGCCCACCTCCCGACGGGCTTTAGGGGCTGGAAGGGGTTAAATCTTACCTGTTGTCCCCCGCCAGGATCCCTCGGTGTGGGGAACTCTCCTCCTCCTTTTCGCCATCATCGGCTGAATGCGCATGCGCGGCAAAAGCCGCGCGAGCATTCAGCCAGTCCATAGGAAAGCATTGCAGTCCATAGGAAAGCATTCTCAATGCTTTCCTATGGACACTGGCGTCTTCTCACTGTGAAAATCACAGTGAGAAGCGCGTAAGCGCCTCTAGCGGCTGTCAATGAGACAGCCACTAGAGGCTGGATTAACCCATATGTAAACATAGCAGTTTCTCTGAAGCTGCTATGTTTACAGCAAAAAGTGATAAACCTAGACGGACCTGGCACCCAGACCACTTCATTAAGCTGAAGTGGTCTGGGTGCCTATAGTGGTCCTTTAAAAACACAAGTAAGACCATCCTTGGTGTATGATACTGGGCAATTTTACTGGTGTAGAAGGAATGTAGGGACTCTGACATGAGAGCTTACACTTTAAACGGCAAAGGAATTGGAAATAGCTGGAATGTAGCCTGTTATGTTGAAAACATATGGTTTTAACTACTCCGGCATTTAGTGTAAAAAATTTTTTTAAAAATACATTCTTTACACTTCATAAGGTTCATACCATGCTATGCTTCTATTGAGTGGCTAGTGTTTCTGATCTTTGATGCACCCATTTAGAGGTGACTGACGGTTAAAGGGATGCCTGGGGACCTCGTTGCAGTACAACAGCTTAATTCTGATGAAGTTGTTATGGTGCCTCAAGGGTTCCTTTAATAGTAAGAAACCTGTTCAAACAGGTAGTAAATAATCTTATACAAAATGAATGGATGTCTCTATTAATAATAATTTGCATACTGCTCCAGAAATGCAATGAATACAGCATTATAGAAATTAATGAGCAAATTATTATTTATAGCAAGTCAAACGTGGAAAAAAACTGAAAGAATATTAGCCAAGTGCTAACGTCTGTCTTGATGGCTACACGGGCTAGGGTATTTAGTTGAAATGTATGTAAGATACAGGAAGAAATGTGATTGTTTGGGGGGGAAGGAAGGCTTTTTTGCACCTTTAGAGGCACAAATGAAAATCGGTGCAATTTTTATATTTTGTCTTCTTTTGGGTCAACAGCAGAAACGATAGATGAAAATCTGAACTTGACCAGGGATTTTGTTGTTCATTGTAAGTTACTATGTTACAGTAGATAGAGATTCCATGCTCGGGGCAGACACGTGGCCACTCCGAGCAGGTAACATACCTGAGAATGAATTTTGTGCTCTATTAATGGGACTCTGTCATGCAGAAATGTACACAGTTCCTTTGTAACCTACAAAATACTTGTATCTCTGCATTATTTTAGCTGAATGGCGGGTAAATATATAAATAGACAGATATTGTAAAAATGACTGTTCCAGAACCTAGGGCCGTGCCAGAAGAGGAAGAAGGAAAAGGTTTTCTTGCACATTTAACAGTCACCTGACACCTTCTCTGATCTGTCCCAGAATGATTTGCATAGAGAAAATGATTTGCAAATGAAAGCAACACTCCAATCGAGACAAGCACTAGTAGTAGCCCGCTGTAGTAGTTATGGTGCCATTAGAGTCCTGGCACTGTCCCAGGGTAATCTGGTCTCACTGTGTATCTGGTGATCGCAGTCGGAGAAGCCAGGTGTAGGCTTTGTTCAATGCAATATTGGATTACACTCAGTCACTGGCTGAGGGCACTAAGTTGCCACCCTTAACCAATGAATGAATGCTTACACTGGTGGAACAGTTGGCCACTGAGGAAGACGTTTTAGTGAGGCACGTGATGGGTACACACTTTAAGACAGAGAAACCATGAAAGAGTAGGAAAGCTGATAGTATTGGAAGTGTGGAGAAGGGGATTATTTTCTAAAACACACAACTGTTCACAAACATTTGCTATAAGTCACACTTATGAGAGCCAAACTTGACTAAAAAAAAAGAATCTGGACAACATTTGTGTGTTTTTTCAAACATAGGAGATCATTCACCCAAACAGAAAGCCTAAAATTATCACGCATGCTCTACCATACCCTCCAAATGTCCCCACCAACTTCCTGGACGGACTTGGACAGGGAAGAGAACTGGAGTACAGGGTGTTATGGTCTCTGAAAGGGGCTGGCCCATCAGAAAACGGGGGCATGGCTTCTAAACAAATAGGTGGTCCAACAGTCCAAGAATGGAGAACAATACCCCAAAATGCAGGACTATCCCAGCAAATTCATGGCTGTTGACACCTATATACATACATACACCATTGGCTTTATAATCTTTTTGCGTGCAACTTGCATTATGAGTGCCATATATATATAGTGCGTTAATGTTTAAACATTAAACTATTTTATAGATTTACACTACCGCTGCTTTTATGTGCGCAGTGTACTTATGCTTGAATGAGCAAAGCACTTCTTTCTCAGAACGGCAGTGCAATTACATTTCCTTAAACGGCCGTAAATAAAAAAAAAAAAATCTGTGCCTGAAAAAAGAAAATGACTTTATTAAGCTAATATACAGCGGAGGATGATAGAAACATGCTTGGTGAAAACATGCCTTTGAAGCTGTAAGCAGAAACGCCTTTTTATCTATCTGTACTTGCAATCAAACGAGAGATTCTATGCAATAACTTGCATAGTTTGTGAACACATGCAGCCTGCTCATTCGATTAAAGAATATAATTTACATATATATTAAAGTGTATACAAACTTAAAGCTGCCTCATCCCCTAAAAGATGTTGGATACGGTTCAAGACATTTAGGTGCAAGGAACCGTGTTCAATGTGAATAGAAACTGGAAACGTAGCTGACTTGGGTAATTTTTGCAGTTTGGTGTCTTGCTTTAAGTGTACATTTTTACTGCCAACTGCAGTCCAGAATGCATATACAGATCTGTGTCAGGTGTGCACAGATCTCCTGACTCCCCTTCCCCATTAACCACAAGGTAAATACTTTGAAATGGAACCTAGTGGAACATCAAATCCAGCGATCTACGTAGCGCTAATCCTGCAGATGCATACACACAGGCAAGGCAACTGCAGGATTCACTCTCCAAATAACTGCAAACCAGGCGCCGTTGTGTGCCAATAGAGGAAGAACAAGTCTATAGATGTGCACACAGAGAAATAAGGAGATTCAAAGAGCCGCTTCCCTGAAATATAATCTGTGTGTACATTAACATGCAAGTTAATCCCTTAAGGACACATGCCACGTGTGACATGTCATGATTCCCTTTTATTCCAGAAGTTTGGTCCTTAAGGGGTTAAACCTATATTGTTCATAACAAGAGGTACACACCAACACTCTGCCGTGATTGATTTAGTCTAAACAAGTTCGATTTTACTTTGTGGCGAAGAAGTGAAAGTTACGTTTGACATTTTTCAAGAAAAATGTAAAAAGTACCGTTTTACGGAACTGGCCCCATTTTGGATAGCGTCCCGAAGATTCAGCACTAGATACGATCAGATTTATACCCTCAGTTTCTTTGCAAGATGTTACAGATTCGTTAGCTCAAAAACAAAGTGTAAGAGGCACTCAACAGGAATGGACAACAAATAACAACAAGTCCTGCAGGTCCCACACGCATTCTAGATTATTTGTACCTTTACATGGGGAACCTAAATAATTAGTATATAAGTGAACCTGCTCACACGGCTAGTCCTTGGCCATAAATGCAGATTTTACCTTCCTGCATAAGAGATGCAGGGCCCCACCAATAATTGTTGCCACTTCTAATGGGCTTCATCAGAGGATGATCGTCTTACCTCCTCATTCTTCCGTCCAGTTACCAGCGTTCCCTTTTTTGGTGCACTAATACAGCTGTACATGACTTTATCACATATAGATGAGCTGGCATAGGTCACTGCACACACTCTCCAAAACATTCTAGGACTTATACATATACAAAGTACATAAATGATCCCTACTGCTAAGCCCATGCTATAAAGCTCTTGCACAAGCAAATCACATTTAAATACAAAAAAAACCAGATGATACTCTCCCTTCAAAATAAACTTGCCAAATAAGAATCACATTGAATGTGCTGAGATAGTTTTAGAAGCAAAGCATTAATGTTTCACTGCGTAATGAAGTCTGACTTGTGACAATGTCCATGCG